TTTTTTTAAACTCTCAATTTAACGGTATTATCAGTTCTGTTAATTTTAAGACTAATATTGATAGTTTATAAGATTTAGGTCTCAAATTGAGAAAAAAAATCTTTTAGTCTCTGATCGATAATTAACTTATTTTTCGGGTCTTGTATTGAAAAAACTACTTGATAAAATAGTTCTGAAATCACAAAAAGTAATTTTATCCTTTTTTTATTTTTTATTTTTTCAAACGAAAAGAATAGTACTCCGTATCACTTAATAATCAAAGCCAACTGACCTTAAATACATCAACAAAAGCACAGGCCGGCTAACAAAAAGGAATAAGATAAGATAAGTAGGTAACGCACCAACACAAAAACAAGTCCAAAGCAATAGAAATTCCCACAATAAATTATCCTTAGTAACTCTTCTATTTCCAGACATATCCTAAGCCAGTAATTAAAAAACCAAACTAAGCCAGACATATCATAACATTGTGTTTTACATTTTAAATATACAGAAAACCATACTCCCTCCTTTTTAAATTAATGTCTAGATACGTAGCAAAATGGATGAATCAAAAAAGTCAAAACGACATCTAATTTAAAAAGGAGGGAGTAGCATTTTTTGTGTGAGACAAAAAAAAATCTACAAGTAAAAATAGAAACAAATGCATAACGGAAAAATCTCTCTCCTCTGAAACCCCATCTTCGCCGTCGCTTTCTCTCTTCCGATTAGCAGTCGCCCGCCTTCCTTTGCAGGCATCGTGCTTCGCCGGCGGTTGCTGGCCCTCGATTGTTTGGGTCTCGCCCCTTTTCTTCTGCTCCGCCGCTCGATTTCCATGGCACAACTTCTTGTCCGCTGGGGCTGGGTCTCCTCCTGGTCTCCTCCTTTCGGCGCCAGTTCATCAATCCCGGCTTCAGTCAGCTCTGTCGTGTGGTGGTGGAGCCGTTGTGCAGTTCCAGGGGCGGAACACGGCTTGATTGTCCGGTGAATTGGTTACTGGGCGACCCAGGCGGTGAAGGTACTCTCGGTCATCCCTCTTTGTCTTCGATTTTCGGATGCTGTTGTGTCACTGTTTCCTCCAGTGAGGCTGGTTTGCGGCAGGGTGATGGCTGTTGGGTAGCTCCCAGGCAAGGGCGGACGTAGACTTGAAGGACAATGGGGGCAGAACTACGGTCAACTGTCAACGTCGTAGGTCAACGGTCAAATCAATATTTAAGCAATTAAAAAAATAAAAATATAAAATCCTGACCAGATACCTTGTTTCTTATTTAATAGTTAGGGTTGAGTCTCACATTCTCATTTTAAGAATAGGGACATATTTATGCAATCCCTATGTAGTATATACATATATGTATGAAGTTGAGTATATCACGAGTATAAATTCCATAACTTAAAAAATAATATAAAAAATTAAATAATTCTAAAAATTTCTTTTTTATTTTTTTATATTGAAATAATTTTGAATAATAATTAATAACATATATTTTTTTTATGTCAATATAATAATACATTTATACATATAACATATATATGTCCGCCAGTGCTCCCAAGCGATTTAGGGCCCGTTTGGTACATTTGGATGTTGTGGCCGTGGCGTGAGTCGGCCTGTTGCGGTTCCGGGGCTGGGGTCTCGTCTCCGTTAGGCACCCAAGTGGTTTAGGCAATTTTGAGGTTGATGCTTCTAGCTACGGGATCCGTGGTTGACTTATTTTTGCTGGTTTGGTTCGGTGTTGCTGCTTAAGAAAGGCTCGTTTAATTTGTGTTATGTTGTTTGTTTTGTTTTGTTGATAGATTTGTGAATTTGTGTGTTGTTTTGTTGTGTTTTAGTCTGTCAGCCTGAGTGTCAACCTATTTTCCTGTTGGGAGCAGACACTCGGATATTATTCTGTTGGGGTCCTTTTAGTTTTCTTGTTTTGGTGTGTTCGTGTAGTTTGTGTTCATTGTATTACCTCGTTAGGGTCAGCTTTAGGCGGTCATTGACTGTCCACCCACTCTATTCAGCTGTTGGCTGGTTAAATTCAGCTGGTGGCTATGTTTTGTACGTTTGTGTTATTTATATATAAACTCTCTATCGTTTCAAAAAAATACACGAGGGCGCTGGAACACAAGCACTACTATGTCTCATTTTTGGATGAGACTTGAGAGATTAATCATACCAGAAATCCCAAATTATACAACTTACCAAACGAAAATGAATCCCATCAAATATGATCCCATGCACCAAACGGCCATTCAATTCAACCCACCCAAAACACAGCAATTAAACCTTTCTCAACGTGGGCTATTCACCCGAGGAAAAATAGCCTCACTCGGGCTGTACTGCCCGGAAAATTCCCCGGTGCTATTGTACGCACTAGATGGAACTGCATACAGATCGTCCAAACCAATCGGGCCGGGCCCATAAAGATCCCCTGGCCCACCAACCTGGCCCATCAACCCCACAGCCTCCTCTTCCTGACCCGACTGCTGTTGGGCCCACGGATGCCTCGTGAACCTCCTCAACCCCTCGAGCTCCATTGCCACCTCCTTCATCGTCGGTCGATCCTCCGAGCTCAACCGCAAGCACCCCATCACGAGCTCGGCGGCCGCCTGCAGTTGCTCGAGCGGGCCTTCTCTCACGACCCGCGGCTCGAGCACTTGGAAGAGTCGGTTCTCCTTCACGGCCATGATGAAGTGGGTCGTGAGGTTCCGCTCCTCCTGGGCTCGGCCCATATCGATGGGCTTTCGGCCCGTGAGGAGCTCGGCCAGCACGACCCCGAAGCTGTAGACGTCGCTCTTCTCGGTGAGTTGGCTCGTCCGGAAGTATTCTGGGTCGAGGTAGCCGAGCGTGCCCTGGACCAGAGTCGTGACCTCCGTCTGGTCCAGGTTGATGAGTCGGGAGGCCCCGAAATCGGATATTTTGGCCGTATAGTGCTCGTCGAGAAGGATGTTGGCCGACTTCACGTCCCTGTGGATGACTGGGACGGCCGCGGCCGAGTGGAGGTACGAGAGGGCCCCGCCAGCCTCACAGGCGATCCTGATTTTACAATAATGTATTTGTCATCAGAAAAATGTCATACTTTATTAAACAATATAAACAAGTATACATTTGATTTTCATAGAGTATGGTAAGTCGATCTTGTCTAACGGATAGACTGCCTAACACAAGAATTTCTAATATCATTTGACTTTTATAGAGTATGGCACGTCGATCAGCCTAACGGTTAGAGTGACTCACACAAGAATTTGTGATATTATTTGATTTTCAAATATTATGACAGTGTCTTACACCAGAATTATTTGTGATATCAGTAATATACCTGAGGCGGTTGTCCCATGAGAGCCAGGCAGCTGGTCCCGGGCCGTGGATTTGCTCATAGAGCGTACCGTGCGAGACGAATTCGTACACGAGCAGAGGCACCTCGGATTCCAGGCAGCACCCGAGGAGTTTGACCACGTTCCGGTGGTTGACTTGGGTGAGTATCACGACTTCGTTGATGAACTGTTCGATTTGGCTCTCGTCCATTACTTGAGACTTCTTGATGGCCACCACGCGCTTGTCTCGGAGAATACCTTTATACACCGTACCGTAGCCACCGCGGCCTAAGATCCTCTCGTCCGAGTAGCCGTCGGTGGCTTTCTCGAGCTCGTTGGCCGTGAATATTCTCGTCAAGTCCACGGCCGGGCCCTCGACAGAAGAGCTGATCATTTGCTGCTTTAGCAACAAGCCCCCGTTTTGTTGGAAAAGTTTCTCGCGAAGTTTTACGAGTTTACGCTTCTTGAGGGTGAAGTACAGCCAGGTTGTTGCTATGACGAGCGATAAAAACCCGAACCCGATACCTGTTTAACGAAAATGATTTTACTAAACGAAAATTTAACCATTACATAAATGAAGTTAGTTACATATTATGGAGATTGATTAAGGAAAAAACAGAGGAATTACCTAAAGCCACCTTTATTACAGGAAACTGTGAGTTAAGAGCATTGCAACCTCGGCCGTGCCTTCTGCCGTCTCCAATTTTGCCGTGCGGACAAGAACAGTTGTAGCTTCCCGGGGTATTTATGCACAACTCTTCACAGTCGTGCAGATTCGGGTCCGCGCATTCGTTGATATCTTCAAATTCGAACGTATCGATATCACAAAAGGGCTTCGTGCAATTTTATCAAGCTTTGTAGCATGCATGGTTAATTTTGAAACTATATAATCGAGAAGATTAAATTCACCATGTTGCCATTTTAGGCTCTTAGCTAGTACATCGATCGAACATAAAGATTTTGCATAAAATGATTTGTGAAAAAACCAAGCAATTTCCAAATAAAAGCTCCCATTTGCAGTAGTTTTAGTCTGCTAAAAATTCAAAATTGCCAAGTATTTTTTTATTTTTTTTCAAAACCATAGATATATTACAAACTAGAGACCAACTAAATTAACTGAATTAAAACAGCTAAAGAAACTGAATTTAGGACTAGGAACTCGAAATTGAAACCAGTTAGTGCAAAAAAATAACTGAACCGAACACAAGATTTTTTCTAAAAAATCATACTGAACCGGTTATTTTCGATTTTGTTTAACGGTTCTCGGGTATATTAAATTAAAGAAATTTACCAGTGCAGCCCGGTTCAAGATACGGGTTGCCTTCATACCCGTCATCACAGCTACACCTATACCCACCCGTCCCACTATCCGAATCCACACAATAACTATTAGCCCGACACGCGTAATCGGCCGACCCTCGAGCCTCCGCGCAGCTCGAGTTCCGCAACGCCCAATCGAGCACGATTGGAACCGTATCCAAGACCCGATCCATGAAATTCGGGTCGGATAAATCATCCGCCCCGCGGAAAACGAATCGCTCCTTCTCCCCAAGGAACGCGTAGCTGCACGGGTCAAAAGACGCGACTTGCGTGTGGTTTCGGAGGCTCGTTAGGTCGGTTAGGTAGAATTTGATGCCACGGGGGAGTGACGTCTGGCAGCAGCCGATTCCCGAGCATCCGCCGGCGGCGGTGACGTCACCGGCTCGGGAGCATAGGGAGACGCAGCCGCTGGTGAAGGTGCGGGTGGCGTCGGTGCCGAAGGTGGTGATGAGGGCGAGGTCGTCGCAGCCGACGAGGGTGAACTGATTGAGGTCGGAGTAGGTGAAGGGGGTGGAGGAGATGTCGGAGGTGGCGTGGTTGGCGCGGACGACGGCGCCGGAGGAGTCGAAGCAGCGGCGGGCGACGACGTTGGAGACGCGCATGCGGGAGTCGGAGATCTCGAGGATGCGGACAGTGCCGATGAAGGCGCGGGGGGGGTCGGAGGGGGAGGCGGCGGAGGTGCAGTTGAGAGTGAACCACGGGCTGGCGGAGCAGGCGGAGGCGGTGCCAGAGCTGCCGCCGATGCCGAAGGGGTAGGGGACGGTGAGGTTGCCGCAGGAGCTTGGGCAGTTGGGGAGAGAGATGGATGGAGCGCGGAGGATGTGGAAAGTGTCGGGGGTGGTGGCGGAGGCGGCGGCGGACAGGAGGAAAAGGAGGAGGCACAGGCACAGGAGGAGGGTGAGGGGGTTGGCGGAGCGCATGGTGTGTGGATTGAGATGAGTTTGTGTATTGTGAGGTGATTTTTTTGATTTGGGAGAGTTGACTTTTTGGAGTTGGGGGAACGTGTGGGGTCACGTGTGAGGCTGGCTAGTGGCTACTCTACACGTTTGGAGAGTTGACTTGACTCACTGTAGGTAACCGTAAACTTGGTGGTGAAAAAAAAAACGCTGTAAATTGTGAATTGAATTTCAATAGTTGTTTTATAGGTGATTTAATGCCATTTTTATTTTTTAAAAACTATGGCTATGGAAGGGAATGGAATATATGAGCTTTCGATTTTTTATTTTCTTTTGGATATCGAGGTTTTAGGCTTGCGTTTGACTGGTCCTGGATCTTGAACCGTGAGCCTCTACCTAGCTCGGGAAAGTATACCGTTTTGAATCGATTGGTTAGTTGTTCGACTTGTTATCTAAAATGGAGATAGATATATGAGATGACATATTAGAAATGAGAAAAAGGTATAAATAAAATGAAGATAGCAAATGATATTCTTATTTTATATATTTAGAACTTTGTTATTCTTTTGTTGCGTTTGACCAATATTTTTTAGTTATTTTTTTTTTCAACACGATAGATTCATTAAACGCAAACACGTAATTACAACTGAATAAATAATCAGAAAAGAGCGGTCTACTCAAAGTAACCTAAATACCACAAACCAACACAAAAGAAACTAAAAAAACTCCCACATGTGGAGAATACATACTCTACATACTCCCAAAAGAGAATATACAGGTCCACAGACGGAGAATAACAAAACACTAACACACACTTACACAACACTAACACACAAGAAATAAAAGCTAAAACAAAAAAAACTAAACTAAAGCCCTCCTCTGGATATGACAGACGGCCCAACACAACCACGAAACTGACCCCAAGGGCACTTCCCAAAGCGGACAAGGACCTAGACCAAAGTTCCGAACCAGAAACTGCAATATTTCTATGCCTGACTAGAGCTAAGTCAACAACCCAAATCCTTTATCAAGGAAAACTACCCCCGGACCAAGCCGGGGACCAACTCCAACACCCCGATCCACACTCACCGACAATCAAAGGCTGAAGAACCACCAAAGCTACAAATCCCCACCCACTGGCAGCCACACCACCCCAGCCCCAGGACGACACGAAAAATAGAGGGGAGGAGAGTCAAAAGGCCCCGAGCCTCCAACCCCTACAACTACGGGCGGGATGAAACAACCACCAGTGCCACCATTGAAAAAATAACGCCCAAACACCAGGAAATTGGAAGGCAAGGGGGAGAACGAGCTTACCTCCACTCTGACCACCGCAACACACTGATCGGAGCAAAACGTTCGCCACTGCACCCGACTCTTGGCCCGAACTGAGGCTGGAAGGCAACCCACGAGAGGCGAAATCCACCAGCTGAGAGGACCACGATTTGACGGAGGGACGGACGACAAACCTTGGTGAGTTATTATTTTGTCGTGTTTGAATATGTTGATATTCACCCTCAATTAATATGCACGAGTGGTCTAGAAACAAATAAAGAATCTTACATCTCAACTCACTTAAATGGGTGTATTTTTTTATTTTTATTTTTTTTATGTGTAATTGTTGATATTATATATTGTATTTTACTAATAATTGTTAATATAGCATAGTTGTTAGTAACACAAGAGAGAAAGCGTGTTATGTCTTTAATTTTCCTTTGTAAATCCTAAGTATAAAAGGGTTGGACAAACACATTTTGTGAGCAGTTCTTCATTCTATCAGATTTATCTTTCTTTTCTCGCATATGCTCTCTTTCTCTCTCGTTTTCTCTCGTTCTTCTTTCATCTGATTCTCATATTCAACATGGTATCATTCTCCAGATGACGATTTCTCATCACCGCGTTATGATTTCTTCTCTCCGCTGCACTCATGTTCTCTGATATCATCGTTTTTTTATTTTTTTCGATCGGACGAAACCCTAGTTTCGATCCTCCTTTGATATTTGTAGATCTGTTCAGAATCGATTTGATTCTTGTCATATTTGCTGCAAATTGACTTGATGGCGACTCAAAATCCATCTGATGATCCAGCATCTCCTTATTACTTGCACGCGAGCAACAATCCGGGAGCGTTGACCGTCGCAGAGCCGTTCAACGGCGAAAATTATGTCTCCTGGTCACTCGCCGTCCTTATGGTGCTCAGCGTGAAGAACAAGATCGGTTTCATTGATGGGCTAATAATTTAGTCCTCTCATGGCTTTTCAATTCCATTGCAAAAGACATACGACAGTCTCTATTGTTTTTCACTCTTGCCTATGATGTATGGACTGAGTTGAAAACTCGCTATGTATTGAGCAGTGGACCAAGGGTTTTTCACTTAGAAAAATCTCTTAGTACCATTACTCAAGGTTCATCGTCCATAACTCAATACTACAATTCTTTCAAATCTCTTTGGGACGAGTACATTACATACAGACCGATTTTTAAATGCAACTGTGAAGCATTCACTTCATGCACTTGCAACATATTTGAATCAATGGCCAATGCTCAACATCAGGATTCGACTATGAAATTTTTAGTAGGCTTGAATGATTCTTACTCACCACTCCTCAGTCATTTTCTTCTATCTACTCTTATGCCTTCCCTGTCCAAAATATATTCCTTACTTCTTCAAGAGGAAACTCAAAGAACCTTACACAATAATCCTCAACCTCTTGATCCCCTTGCTATGTTTGTTAAGACCTCTGGCCCTCAATCAAAATTCCAAAAGCCTCAATACAAGGACAGAAAGAAACTCAAATGTACTCACTGTGGTTACAATGGTCATACAGTGGATAAGTGCTTTAAACTTGTTGGTTATCCTGAAACTGGCCTGGTTCTAAAGGTCCAAAACCACCTGCTAGTCACTCTGCCAATGCCATTCAGACTGAACCTACTGCAACTACTTTTACAGCAACTGATTCCATTACTAATGATCTTCTTCATGAGTTTATAGCCTTCAAAAGATCACAGGAATCACAAGCTGCCAACATTCCCAAGGCAAGTCCTGTTGTAGCTACTGCAATTCCTTCCACATCAGGTATTCCTAATGCCATATCATGTTCAGTAGTTAGGAATCTGTCAAAAACATCTTGGATATTAGATACATGTGCTACTGACCACATGATATGTGACTTGTCTTATTTTACTACTATTTCTAAGCCTGTTAATGTGCATATAAATTTGCCAAATGGTCAACATACTGAAGCATGCTACATAGGGAATGATATTCTCAATGATCATATCACTCTTAATGATGCTTTGTATGTTCCAAATTTCAGTTTCAATTCGATATTTGTCTCTAAGTTGGTTTCATCCAACAAATTTATAGTTCAATTCTTGTCATCTTATTGCATTTTACAGGACATGCTAACACAGAAAATGATTAGTTCTGTTGATCTGAAAGATGGCCTACATCATTTTTCTTCTGTTTCATTGACTAATCTTGCACATTTAAATGTAAACTTTACTTTACCTGTAACTCCTGTTTCTCAGACAGTATGTTCCACTTTAGTTGATAATGGTACCTGGCATTATAGACTAGGTCATTTGTCATTTTCCAAATTACAGCAATTACATCTCACACTTACTCCATGTGTTGATATGTTGTCTACACCATGTGATGTATGCCATTTTTCTAGACAAAGAAAACTTTCATTTCCTGTTAGTAATTCTATTGCCTCTGATTGTTTTGATTTAATCCATTGTGACTTATGGGGTCCCTTTTCTGTTGCATCTCATAATGGGCATAGATTCTTTCTTACCATTGTAGATGATCATTTTAGGGTTACTTGGATTTACCCATTAAGTTCTAAATCAGACACCAAACAGAGTTTAATTCATTTCTATAATATGATTCTTACTCAGTTCAATAAAAAGATAAAAGTCATAAGGTCTGACAATGGCACTAAGTTCTTACTACAAGATTTTTATACTTCCCATGGCATTTTGCATCAAACATCATGTGTAGAAACACCTCAACAAAATGGTAGGGTAGAAAGAAAGCATCAACCTCTTTTACAAGTTGCTAAAGCTATTCTTTTTCATGCTCACTTACCATTGTCCTTTTGGATAGATTGCATTCTTGCTGCTACACATATTATCAATAGAATTCCAACTTCTGTTTTACAAAAATAAATCTCCTTTTGAGGTTCTTTACAAGAAAGCTCCTACATATGATCATCTTAAGGTCATAGGTTGTTTAGCATATGCAACTACATTGATTGCAAACACATCAAACTTTGCACCAAGAGCATGAAAATGCATTTTCCTTGGGTATCCTATAGGTTGTAAAGGATACAAACTTTACAACCTTGATACAAAGAAAACATTTATCTCCAGACATGTGCAATTTTATGAAAATGTGTTCCCTTTTCAACATAATAAACCTGTCGACCTACTTTTCCCTCCAGATAAAACTTTTGACTATTCTGATACAACCATTCAAAATCCTACCATTATCAATACTCAACAGACACCTTCTCAGAATCGTGAACCAACCAACAATACTTTGACTGAAACCACCACCAATACTTACCCTCAAAACACTGTCACACCTCCTTCATCACCCCAAACAGAACATGTTCAAACAACTCCCAGAAGAAAATTATCAAGAATTTCCAGACCTCCACCCTATTTACAGATATACAACCATTCCTTACCACATTCTTCTCATTCTTCTAACACATCTTTCAGCACATCTGGAAAATTTGTCAAATATCCAATTTGTTCATTCATATCCACTACTCAATTATCTGAACATCATAAATGTTTTACAGCATCAATCACACAACACACAAAACCAAAATCCTACTCACAAGCAGCCAAAGACCCTCTGTGGCAGACTGCTATGAGAAAGGAATTGAATGCATTAGAGAAAACACAAACATGGATTCTAACAGACTTACCCATTGATAAACATTGTATAGGATATAAATGGGTTTTCAAAATTAAGTATAATACTGATGACACAATTGAGAGATATAAAGCAAGATTAGTTGCAAAAGGCTATACCCAAGAAGACGGTATAGACTATTTTGAAACATTCTCTCTTGTTGCCAAAATTACTACTGTTAGATTCATGATTGCACTTGCATCTATTAAAAACTGGCATATCCATCAACTAGATGTTAATAATGCATTTTTACATGGGGAGTTAGATGAAGAAGTCTACATGAAGCCACCTCTTGGCTATTGCTCTCCTTATGATACAAGAGTTTGTAAACTTAAGAAAAGTTTGTATGGTTTGAAACAGGCCACTAGGCAATGGTTTCAAAAGCTTACAACTTGTTTATTGAAGTATGGTTTCAAGCAATCAATCTTCGATTGCTCATTGTTCACTCTATCTCATTCTGATAACTCCTTATTTACTGCTTTACTTGTGTATGTAGATGTGTCATTCTCACTGGTAACATGTATGAGATCAATGCCATTAAAAATCATCCCATTCATGTTTTACAATTAAAGACCTTGGTCAGTTAAAATATATTTTGGGTCTTGAATTTGCTCACTTTGATAAATGTATCAATATATGCCAAAGAAAATATGCCCTTGATGTTTTAACTGACACTGGTTTTTTTACATGCAAACCTGCCCCCACCCCTATGGATTCAAATGTTAAATTGTGTTATGCTACTAGTTCCTGTGAACTTACAAATGTCACAGAATATAGAAGACTCATAGGTAGGCTTTTATATCTTACAATATCTAAACCTGACATTTCATATAGTGTACAAACACTAAGTCAGTTCTTAGCAAAGCCTACCACAGTCCATCTCACAGCTGCACACAGGGTTTTAATGTATTTAAAGGGTACAGTGGGCCAAGGTATATTCTTTCCTAGATCATCTTCTTTACATCTCAATGCTTATTGTGATAGTGATTGGGCAAGTTGCTTAGACACAAGAAAGAGTGTAACTGGTTACTCAGTTTTTTTTGGGAAATCACTCATTTCTTGGAAGTCTAAGAAACAAAACACCATTAGTAGATCTTCAGCTGAAGTTGAATATAGGGCTTTGGCAACAACATCATGTGAAATCCAATGGTTATTATACTTATTTGCTGACTTCAACATATTTCATTCCTGTCCAGTTTCCATTTTTTCAGATAGTCAGTCAGCTATTGCTATTGCCACAAATCCGGTGTTCCATGAAAGAACCAAACACATACAACTTGACTGCCATTTGATTAGAGAAAAAATCACTCAAGGACTCATCAAGTTGCATCATATCTCAAGCAAGGAACAAATAGCCGATTTGCTGACAAAGCCTTTAGCTAATAATGTCTTTTCATATTTGTTGTCCAAGATTAACATGTGCAATATACATGTTAATCTTGCGGGGGGTGTTGATATTATAATTTGTATTTTATTAATAATTGTTAATATAACATAGTTATTAGTAACACAAGAGAGAAAGCGTGTTATGTCTTTAATTTTTCTTTGTAAACCCTAAGTATAAAAGGGTTGGACAAACACATTTTGTGAGCAGTTTTTCATTCTATCAGATTTATTTTTCTTTTCTCGCATATGCTCTCTTTCTCTCTCGTTTTCTCTCGTTCTTCTTTCATCTGATTCTCAGATTCAACAGTAATTCTTCCAATTTCCACATAATTAAGATAACGAGTTGGTTGTGTGCTTCAATTTGTAAATATCGAAAGTTTGTACCTCAAAACTAGAAGGTTGATATTAAATTAAAAACTAATTGAAAATGATATTTAACCTACAATCTACAAAAGTTTGTACACATACATAACTGTTTTATTATTATGTTGCTAATTGTTGTGGATTTTGGAAAAAGTCAAAGAAATTAAATAAAAAAAAAACAAAAAAGAAAGAAAAAGAAATAGGAAATCCCATCGTCCTTTAGTTAACAAACCAATAAGTAATAGTGAAACCAATATTTTAAATACCGTACCGTACCGTACCGGCCGGTATTACCGGTAATACCGGATACCGGTCGTCTGACCGGTACGGTTACACTCTAAATACAGTTTTGGCCAAAATACCGGTTTATACTGATTTCATACCGGAAAATACTGGTTTTACCGGCAAATACCGGCCAAAATACCGGTTTATGCCAATTTTTTTTTAAAAAATATTTTTTAACATATTTTTATTAATTTATTTATATAAATTGAAAGTTCTACACATAATTTTAATATGTTTACATTGTTATTTGATGTTAATTAATTTTAGTATTAGCTAAAGTTAGTTTTGTACATCATTTATATTATAATAATAAATTAATTCAATATTTATTGAAACCGGTAAAATAGACGGTAATATCGGTTGAACCGCGTACCGTTGGCTCGTCCGGTATACTTACCGGTACGGTATTTAAAACACTGAGTGAAACCATAAAATGTCAACATGCAGCACAGCTATGCCAGAACAACATTTATTTGACTATCTACCGTTTACTTAATTTGAGTTGGTATCAATTAGTATATTTAGAATAAAATCTTTGTATTTGAATTGGTCATTATTGTGAGATTAGTACTCATATGAGATATATATCGAGTCGACTCGACCTGAGAAACGCTCTAACCTAACAAAGTGAACCGACAAGTTGATTGAAGATCGAAGATACTGGAGGTCGTCGATGGTGACTCCACTAATAAGAATACTCGGCAACTCGTCGAGCTAGGACCCTCGGATGGTCTGGTAAAAACTCGGTCCTGAGGTATACAGGTCGATGGATCGACTCGAGGGACAGAGTGCACGAGCACAACGAGGAGAAAATCTAGCTCAAGGGAAGCTGAGTTGGTCGTATGATTGGACCGTCTAACAAGGTAGACTAATGGATAAGAATAAATATAATTAAGATAAGAACCACACATGGATTGGACCATATGGCTTAATATATTTAGGCAATTCGGGCACTCGGATAACTCATCTGCAATATTGGGCAACAAGGTCATGCACCTATATAATGGGGTGATGTATGTTCATTTAGACTCTGGACACTATCATATACTTACAAACTTATACAATATTGTTCATCATCTTCTTCGGACACCTTTTGACTTGATTTTTAGATGTTCTATGCCTTACAACACTCCTGACGTTGTTTCGCATATTTATCGAACCGGTCGTGAGCAGATATAGGTCGCTCGAGTCTGGTTGAGGTTGTTGTGCACACCATTTTGGCGCCGTATGTGGGACAATCTTTTAAGAATCCTTCAAACACTATCATATACTTACAAGTTTGTACAGTCTATTCATCGTCTTCTTCGACACTCTCTGACTAGATTGTCAGAGAAACTGCACCAGGACCACTCTTGACGCTGTTTTGTAGATCGATCGAACCTGGCGAGAGCAAATCTAGGTCATCATTTGAGTCCAATCGAAGTTGTTGTGCACACCAAGTATTAAATTTGAGTTGGCACGAATTTAAGGACTAACGAGTCGAGCCAAATGAAAGTGAGGTATTTATCAATTTTAACGAGTTAAACTTGAGAGTGAATGAACTGAGTTATACAAAATACATAAAAAAAGTCAAGCCGATCTTGAGCGTTTGTGTTTTATTGTCGAGTCGAGCTGAGGCTCGAGCAAGATAGGCTCGTCAAGCTCAAGTTCAGGAACCCGTAGGTATAAAAAAATCAAATATGACTCAATAACATCGATGGTGGACCCAACCCAAGACTAGTCTGCAGTTCTAGTGGGTTTTCGCAAGCGGGCCCATAAAAACTAGAGAAAATTACTCCCCTTACTCATCCTATACAAAATATTATTAAATCTACGACATCTCTAACTTACATTTACAAGTACGAAATTTAATTAATCAAAGCAAGTATGTAGCAAACTTTTCTCTCACTATATCTTTTCACTAAAATCGCAAAAATCTCATCTTGTTTATTTGGCCCATACATTACCCTCTCTCTCTTCCTTTTTCCTTCCTCATTCTTCTTTTCGCAGACCAAAATCATCGAAAATCCCAAAAGACATCGAAACAACCCCAACAAAGTCCTTCGTCTACCCCATCAGTTCCATCTCCTTCTCCCCAGTCGCCCCTCACGACTTCGCGGCCGCCCATTCCACCACAATCTCCATCTTCTCCGGCCAGACCCTCGACCGCAGATCCACAATCTCTGACTTTTCCGACACCATCACATCCACCTCCTTCTGCTGCGACAGAAAGCTTCTCGCTGCCGGAGACCTGACAGACACCGTCTACGTGTTCGACGCCAGGTCCCGCGACCACCTATGGCGCCTGAAAGGCCACCCCGCCACCGCTCGACTCGTCCGTTACCCCCACGCCGCCGACAAGACCCACCTCTTCTCTGGCGGGGATGACTCTGTCGTCTCTCAATCATAAGCAACGTCGAAGATGCACCAAGGCTCGTTGAGGAGATGAAGGGGTGACGTTGGGAGTGGTGAGGTCAATCAATCCCGTTTCAGAATTGTTATATGTTGTTTATCTTGTGTGTAACTACATTTGATTTGAATTTTTGCAGACATTCAGAATTGTGTATTATGTTTAATCCCTTCTTATAATTGTTTGTATGTTTTTTATCTTATGTATAACTATACGGTTAATAATAGAGAATTGATAGATCATGTTTATCTAATGTATATATACAATATATCTAAACATATATTTGGCAGTTGGATGATTTTTTTTTTCGAATTCAAATTGCCAATTAACTGAATTTTTGCTCTACGAATTTTTTTCTATTCCCATACGGGATCGTAGCTTTTTTTCGATGAACAACTGGATGAACAATCGTTTTTTCCAATTCAATATACAGACAATCCCGTTTCATTTTTTGAATTTCCTGAATCCCTAAATTATAGCTATCAGATTTTATTTATTTTTTTTAATTTTCCTTTGTTGCGGTTTTTCAGCCGTAAATAAATGGATGGAGAGAAAAAATTACTAGCTCAGGTCATGTATATGTAATAAAGCCCACATAAAAGACAATGTTTGACGAAAGTTTAATTGAGCGTGTTTGTGTAAATATTTATTATAAAGAGTCTGTAGTGTGAATATTTGTATAAAATCGTTTTATTTATAATAGATACTACCCGTAAAAGCAACAGCCCCTCAAAGGAAAAAGACTCGCGGCTGACCAATTGCAACACGACTTCAAGGTTAAATCTGGCACACACACACAAAAGTAAATAAATAAATAAAACGACTTTAAGGTTAAATCTGACACATAAACACATACACACAAAATAATAAATAAATAAATAAATAAAACAAAATCGTTTGTAGAACTGTGTCGTCACAGCTCAAGTCACAATAAATAAATAAATAAATAAAATAAAATCGAACAAAATCGTTTGTAGAACTGTGTCGTCACGTCACAGTTCACACCCTCTCAAATAATCAGTTCAGTTATAAGCTTCTCATCTGAGATCGATATTCCTCTCCGATGGGCAATGGCTGCCTTTACATTCTCATCAGCACTGCCCTCCCTTCACTCCCATCGGATTTCCTCAAATCGTTATCCTTCCGGAAATACCTTTGTCAGTGCCTTCTATTCTCGTCCCTACCCCGCCGTTATCTCTTCCTCCGGACGCCGTAGTCTCAGATCACCGCTCAATCGTCGCCGTCCGAGCGTAGTCGTGTCGGCGCTGAAGAAGCTGTCCGATTCCGAGCTGGTGGAGGTATCTTTCGCTTCCGACGGAATATTACCCTCCGGTGCCGGCGTCTACGCCGTCTACGATGGCGACGGCGAGCTTCAGTTCGTCGGCATAACGCGGAACCTCGCAGACAGTGTCCTCACTTGTAAGAAATCGGTGCCGGAGCTCTGTTTCTCCGTGAAGGTACCAAAATTACTTCATAAATTCTTCTGTTTTGCTAATACTTCACTGTTTCACAATTTTTGTCAAAGTGTGGCTTAATTGCCATTTTTGCTTTGATACATGGAGTTTGGAAATTCGCACATTATTGTGTAAGACAGTCTAATCGTTAGGCAAATCGAGCCGTGATACATTTATAACATATGCATACTTATGTTGTTTTTAAGAGCATCAAATTTCAATTCATATATCTGTTGAAAAAGTATTGACTAACCGTTAAGCAGACAGCCTTATTGTTGAGAATTTGATGCTGGATTATTTTCTTTAGTTCAACTGATGTAATTATGAACCAAGCCTGGGAGCTGTGCTTTAATTTTAGAAAATTGTTGTCAATGAAAAGATCCGAGTCCAAGCTGGTTAATGGGTAGAAACAATCATATCAACAGAAGCGAGTTTTGATAAAGCAGCCTTCATACCAGGAGTTTGGAATTAAAAAGAAAAAAGTATGATTGTCCAACCGTTAGGTCTAACCAAAAGTATTATTAGTTGCTGTATTATTTTTTTAGCTCAATCTGGGTATAGGTAATGATGAATCAGGCGTGGAAACTGAGCTTTAATATTTGAAACTTGTTGTCAATGAAGTCCAAGCTGGTTAACTGTTTGAAACAATCGTATCATCTGGACCGAATTTTGGTAAAGCAGCTTTATTCAATGCCAAATTTTGGTAGTGAAACAGGCCATTGCTCGAAAATCAGTTGACTTCTCAATTGATGAATGTGCTAGTATTCAAAAAGTTTAGCACATTCACGTATAAAAAGAGTCCATGATGTGAAAAAGAATCATGATCTATGTAGTTCCACCCAACGAGTGGGAACAAGGCTGTGTAGAAATACACTACATTCAGTCTGAGTGACATACAGACTATAGAGTTCTCTCGTGTTTCATCTTGCCAAAAATATCTTCTATTTCTGCAGGTTGGGGAGGTAGAGGACCCCGACAAAAGCGCGCTAACCGAAGCATGGAAATCGTGGGTGCAAGAGCACATAGCCTCAACGGGCAAATTCCCACCTGGAAACGAACCCGGAAACTCAACATGGGTCAGAAATGCCCCACATAAAAAGGCCATCCTCGAGGGCCAAGGGGTGGATTACGATAGTGTGGACGTGCTTGACGAGGAGCATAACCGAGGGCTTGAGGAGACTTTGAAGAGGTATAGCAATTGGTCCCCACGTTTTTCCTCAGGTGTTTAAAAGCTTGGCATGAATCAGAACAAAATATTTACAATATATCTTTTTACAGACTTACTCAAACATCCATTCCCCCATGATTTAGATTGATAATCCATTGAAATGAGTCTGAATAAGAACTGATGATATGATAGGTAACGATGAAATGAAATTTGCTAGAATGAATGAGTTAGAAGAATGAAATGATTATGAGAAATGAGCGAAACTAGTTTCTCCATTGATTTGATGTGTTTGGTAAAGGAATAAGATTTTAATTGAATAATGTTATCATCCTATGTTATCATTTCTCAATATTTTATAAACATAAAAAAGTCCAATTTCAATGTTTATATTAATGTTATTTCTTATTCACATTATACATAATAAATAAGAAAATTATTTTTTAACATATACAAACTAATATAAAACATTTTTACATAAATGCCACAGATTGGTCGGAAAAGTAGCATTGGTGACTGGTGGGGCGAGCGGCATAGGCGAGAGCATCGTGCGCCTGTTCCACAGGCACGGCGCCAAGGTCTGCATAGCCGACATCCAAGACAACTTGGGACAGAGCTTGTCCCGGGACTTGGGCCCATACGCCTCCTTCATCCACTGCAACGTCACTGTCGAGGATGACATCAGCCGGGCCGTCGACTTCGTCTCTCGACATTTCGGGCCCCTCGACATCATGGTCAACAACGCGGGCATCTCGGGCCCTCCCTGCCCGGACATCCGTGACTGCGACCTCTCGGTTTTCGAGCACACGTTCGACGTGAACGTGAAGGGCCCGTTCCTCGGGATGAAACATGCGGCCCGGGCCATGATCCCGGCCCGGAAGGGCTCGATAGTTTCTTTAAGCAGCGTGGCGAGCGTGATCGGGGGGTTGGGCCCGCACGCGTACACGGGGTCGAAGCACGCGGTCGTTGGGCTGACGAAGAGCGTGGCGGCCGAGCTGGGGAAGCACGGCGTGCGGGTGAACTGTGTGTCGCCGTACGCGGTGGCGACGGGGCTGGCGCTGGCTCACCTGCCGGAGGAGGAGAGGACGGAGGACGCGTGGACAGGGTTCAGGAACTTCGTTGGGGCCAATGCGAATCTGCAGGGCGTGGAGCTGACAGTGGATGACGTGGCGAATGCGGTTCTGTTCCTGGCGAGCGACGAGGCGAGGTATGTGAGTGGGGTCAACCTCATGGTCGATGGCGGGTTCACGTCGTCCAACCATTCGCTTCGGGTGTTCAGATGAAAGATGAGATTTTTCCACTTATACTGTGTTTTCATGTGGCGACATGCGATCCGTATAGCTGACTCCCACTTAGTGGGATTTTAATTGCTTGTTGATTGATTGATACTATTTTCATGTGGTTGAGGTTATGTCGGGGAAGTTATTTGAGGGTGGGATGTTTCCCCAGCTGCAGGGTGTGTTATTTGAATTGTATTTGCGCACATGAACTGTTTATTTGTTTGTGTGAATTTCATCAAGTATTCTTCGTCCCATGTTAATGGAGAAAGCAAAATTCACGTGGAAACAAATTTTATGTTAGTTTGATATACGTGCAATCGGTGCTTCTATAACTTTGTTAATGGAGAAAGCAAAATTCACGTGGGAACAATTTAGTTATGCAATAGCACAGGGCACAGGTCAAGATTTACAAGTCAGTTTGCATGTGCACAATATATTGTTTATGATGTAGTTTTACTTAAGCAAAAAGCAAAATTCATATGGGAACACATTTAGTTATGCAATAGCACAGGGCACAGTTCACGATTTACAAGTCGTCTGCATGTGCACAAATCACAATATATTGTTTATGATGTAGTTTCACTTTAGCAACAAGCAAAATTCATATGGGAGCAAATTTAGTTATGAAATAGCACAGGGCACACAAGTCAATATTAACAGGTTGTCTGCACTCTGCATGTGCACAAATCACAATATATTGTTGATGATGTAGTTTTACTTTAGGTCTTTAGCAACAAGCAAAATTCATATGGGAATAAATTTAGTTATGCAATAGCACAGGGCACAGGGCACAGGGCACAGGGCACAGGGCAAGATTTACAAGTCGTTTGCATGTGCACAATATATTGTAAAGTACTGATTTGTTTAAGTAATTTGAATAAATTAAATCGACAGATCATGTGTATTTCATAACATGTGTATGAGATTTTGGTAAGATAGTTTGGTCGAATATTGCTGCTATAGATTTTGGTAAGATAGTTTGGTCGAATATTGCTGCTATAACAAATAGAAGTAAATAAATAAATTTAATTACTGCACAAAATTTTGGTCAAATCTTTTAGTCAAAATTGTGATTCATGCATATGTGGTTGAATAAAGAAATATAAATCTTCCATTTTTTTTAACAATATATAAATTTCATACCAGAACTCAAAATGTACACAAAGGCATAACCAAAGGGTTACAAATCTCCTCCTACGCTAGAACTAGCTTAGGATTTGACAGGGGAATACTCACCATGAGTTCCCTCCAAGACCAACTACGATCATACCAAAAACATCAAAACCTACTTACATTAATTTAGGAATAAGTGTCTAAGAATCAAAAGACTTAAGCATCATAGAAATATCATCCAACACAACAGAAGAGTTTGAGGAAATCCAAGAAAGATCATTAAGCTGTTTGGCTATCCTTGCTGTTTGCACCACCATCTGCACTCGGTTCCAACCTAATGTGTTGTCCTGCAGTAACCAATTCCAAATTTGCTGCATTTTCTCATCAGTAGATCTTGGTTCTGCTTCCATCTCCTCAGTCCATCTGGCCACCTCAACCTCTCCCTTAAATGCTATCCCACCACTAGCACTGAGTTCCACCTCTGAAACCCCTACTCCATGTGTTACCTCAGAACTTGCATGGTTCTCCACTCCTTTACTTATCTGTCTAGTGTTATCCTCTGCCCCCTGCAGAAATGTTCTCCTATCTAAATAGCCAGCTATTCCTTGTCTTCCATAACCACCACATGATATATGAAGACAAGGATAGCCTATCATTGCCACACATTCTTCCTTTCACTTTGCATACTTCCCACCACCACTCTTCGAATGTTATTTGATCTGCCATCAGATTATCCCAGAACAAACCTGCCAGTCTCCAACTTCTTTGGGCCCTTTCACACCTAAACAGTATGTGCTCCAGATCCTCTTCATGGCTTCCACACCAATGGCATATAACATCATGATTCATTCCTCTGCTTTTCAGATTTAATTTTGTACTCAAGCAGTTATGTCAGCAGCTCCAAATAAAGTTCTTGACCTTACTTTTGATGGGAAACCTCCACATCTTCCTCCACATTGCCTGTTGCTGCTTCCCCCCTTTGCTAGATTCAGCCTGCACCTGGTGTCTCACTTTTGTCTTCATGATTGTCTGATATGCTTCTTTGACACTGAATTTGCTAAATCTTCCATGATCCTCCAAATTTCTTAAACAATCAAATCTGCTGTATTTAATCAAAATTAAATCCTACAATATTTAATAAGAAAATGTTTTAATTAAAGAGTGTTTTTGTAAAGTACTTATTTGTTTAAATAATATGAATGAATTAAATTGACAGATCACATGTATTTCATAGTATTTGTCCGAAATTTTGATTAGATCGTTTGGTCCAATGTTGTTGCTATGACAAAGAAAGTAAAAAAATAAATTTAATTATTGTACAAAATTTGGTCAACTCTTTTAGTCAAATTTGTGATTCATGCATACTGGCCGAATAAAAAACTATAAATCTTCCATGATCCTCCAAATTTTCTAAGCAACCAAATCTGCTATATTTAACCAAAATTAAATCCTACAATATTTAATACACAATACTTTAAGTAGAGAATATTTTTGTAAATTACTGATATATTTAAGTAATCTGAATCAATTAAATTAACAGATCATGTGTATTTCATAACATGTGTCCGAGATTTTGGTTAGATCGTTTGGTCCAATATTGTTGCTATAACAAAGAAAAGTAAATAAATAAATTTTACTATTGTACATAATTTTAGTCAAATCTTTTAGTCAAATTTAGGATTCATGCATATTTGGTTGAATAAAAAAAAATATAAATCTTCCATGATCCTCCAAATTTCTTAAGCAACCAAATATGCTTTATTTAATTAAAATTATCTCTTACGACATTTAATAAAAATATACATTGATTAAAGAATGTTTTTATAAAGTACATATTTGTTTAAGTAATCTGAATCTATTAAATTGACAGATCATGTGTATTTCATAACATGTGCCTGAGATTTTGGTAAGATCGTTGGTCCAATATTACGGCTATAACAAAGAAAAGTAAATAAATAAATTTAAGTACTGTACATAGTTTTGGTCAAATCTTTTAGTCAAATTTGTGATTCATTCATATCTAATTGAATAAATAAAAAAATATAAATCTTCCATGATCCTCCAAATTTCCTTGGCAACCAAATCTGCTATGTTTAATCTAAATTAGATCCTACAATATTTGATCAAAATACTTTGATTAAAATATATTTTAGTAAAGTAGTGATTTGTTTAATACAAAATACTTTGATTAGAATATATTTTAGTAAAGTAGTGATTTGTTTAAGTAATCTGAATCAACTAAATTGACAGATCACGTGTGTTTCATAACATGTGTCTGAGATTTGGTAAGATCGTTTAGTCCAATATTGCTGCTATAGCAAATGGAAGTAAATAAATAAATTTAACTACTGTACAAAATTTTGGTCAAATCTTTTAGTCAAAATTGTGATTCATGCATATCTGGTTGAATAAAAAAATATAAATCTACCATGATCCTACAAATTTCTTAAGCAATCAAATCTGGTATATTTAATCAAAATTAAATCCTACAATATTTAATTAAAAAATACTTTAATTAAAAAATATCTTTGTAAAGTACTGATTTGTTTAAGTCATCTAAATCAATTAAATTGACAGATCACGAGTTTTTCATAGTATCTGTCCGAGATTTTGGTTAGATCGTTTGGTCCAATATTATTGCTATGACAAAGAAAGTAAATAAATAAATTTAATTACTGTACAAAATTTTGGTCAACTCTTTTAGTCAAATTTGTGATTCATGCATATCTGGACGAATAAAAAACTATAAATCTTCCATGATCCTCCAAGTTTCCTAAGCAACCAAATCTGCTATATTTGATCAAAATTAAATCCTACAATATTTAATACACAATACTTTAATTAAAGAATATTTTTGTAAAGTACTGATTTATTTAAGTAATTTGAATCAATTAAATTGACAGATAACATGTATTTCATAGCATGTGTCCGAGATTTTGGTTAGATCGTTTGGTCCAACATTGTTGCTATAACGAAGAAAAGTAAATAAATAAATTTAATTATTGTACATAATTTTGGTCAAATCTTTTAGTCAAATTTGTGATTCATGCATATTTGGTCGAATAAAAAAATAAAAATCTTCTATGATCCTCCAAACTTCCTAAGCAACCAATTCTGCTATATTTAATCAAAATTATATCCTACAACATTTAATAAAAAATACATTAATTAAAGAATATTTTTGTAAAATATTGATTTGTTTAAGTAATCTGAATCAATTAAATTGACAAATCACTTGTATTTCATAGCATGTGTCTGAGATTTTGGTCAGATCGTTTACTAGGCAGATGAGTTGCTTCCATTGGGTTACACTGATTCTGACTTCTAATCATACTGGGACGAAAGAAAGTCAACCTCAGGGTTTGTGTTTACTTTAGGAGGAAGATCCTTGTTTGGACGAGTGTCAAGCAGAAATGCGTGGCAGACTCCACCATGGAAGCTGAATATGTAGTAGCCTCAGAGACACCGAAAGAAGTGGTTTGACTCAGGAATTTTCTTCTCGACCTTGACAATCGTATTTTAGTCAAAGTATTTATGTTTGCGATTTATTTATTTATGCAATCATAACTCCGTTATTTTACATTGTAGATAAGATGGTTCATCGTGTCGAACAAAAAGACCATATTATTGGTTCCTTGTAAAATATAAAATATTTTTTCACAGTTTAGATAGGCAGTGAGACCCCTGTTGGATAAAGACTGTAGTGTAGTCTTGATTCAGTTGATCTTTGACTGATGAGTTACACTAGTACTTATGATAAGTATTTAACGGACTGCAGAAGGATAAGATTATAAGATTTATTGATCGTTGTTATAATCTAGACCTTCATTGATTGATGCGTTCTCTTAAACTGTAAGATAATATAAAATGGGCATATATATTCATTACTTATTTGTTTGATTTACCAAGGTTGATTCCTATTCCGTTAGGATGACATACTCGATATTTTGGTAAGTAAGAGTGTTTATATGATGTGTCGTTATAAATTATTTACAGTCACTATGTCCCAATGCGTTGGGTTGATGACGTCCCCGAAATGAGCTCAGAAAGGAATATTACGTCAAACTCTGCAGGTGGATAATTATCCACCATAATGATTAATGAACTGAGTGGTACTAATTCAGAAATGAAAGAAGTCAATTTAATTTAATCGTCAGTAATTAAATTAATTGATGGACGTTATATCTTAAACATAGGGAGGTAAATCAGTCAATTAGATGAATATTAATTAATCATTTGGAGGTTCGAACTTATTGAATAAATTGGAGCTAAATGGGGAGAACAATAATATTACTCTAGTGAGATGTTTTATTATTAAGAATTTAGGAATTAATTATATTCCATATTTTAGATTCCATTATGAGAGAAGATTCCTTCTAGAATATTACATAGGGTTAGGAGACTATGGAGTCTTCTAGAAGGTAATAAAGGTTAGGAGGAATAGGACTTCTAGATGGGATAAGATATGGAGTATGATTAGGATTCATAAGCCTAATGGGATAAGTCCATATTTAGCACCTCCTTAAGGTCTCTAATGGAGCCTATAAATACACCATGTCCCAACCTCTTCCCCTACTATTGCTTGAGCTCGATTTTAAAGTTCTAAAAGGAAGAGAAAAGTCGAGATCTACATATATTCGAATTTCAGGAGTTTCGATTAGTCGCACCACCAAGATTACTCGAAGTAGGTGTTAAGGTAATCCGTTAGAATGCTTTAAGGTACGATTTATTCGAGCCTTTTGATCACACGAGATCCGGCCACCTTTCACCGCCGACCGCCGTCACCGACAAGTCGCCGAAAAACATCGCCGCTACCCAGCACCACCGGAAGCCACCAGTGCCCAACCGCACACAGCCGCGAGCCATCGCCCGCAGCCGCACGCTGCCATATCTGGCGCATGCTTCCAGTGACGCCCGCAGTGACGCCCTGCGTGCACGACGCAGTCCCTGCTCGTGCACATCGCCACCCGAGTTCCTCGCACGTTGTTTGCCTTGCCAAGCACGCCCGAGCGCCAATTTGCCCAGGCGTAGGAAAGTCGCAGCGCGCCCGACCTTCGCGCTGCTCCCACACGCCAGCGACCAGTGAGTTGCATGCTCCCAGTGCCCGTCCGGGTGAACCAGCCACCCGCGCATCCTGCCCAGCACCTGACGCAACACATATCCACGACCAGTGCCCGACCAGACCTGAGACACATCGTGGTCGAGCCGCAGCGAGCCCAATTGAGATCAGCCGCACCGACATGAGGTCCGATTGAGCCTAGCCGCGACCCGACAGAGCTAAACCGCATCCGACCATCCCGAACCCGACTATTCCTTGACCCGGCGATCCGTTCGAGATCCAACGACTCGATCAGAATAGAGAAAGGACAAGTCCGACAGCCCATCGGACTTTGGTATTCAGACGATCTCCATCAAAGGAAATCAGAAACGTCTCTGAGTCGGCAAAATTTTTAAACGGTAATGTCCTAATCCTAACTATAGATTCCGCTGTGTTAGGGATTATTTTGCCAAATTCAAACGTGCATGTTGTTGTCGCTCCTAATAGCACTAAACAACTTGTCCACCTAAGAAACACCGTGATTCATAAATATCGACCGCGACCCCCACATGTCGATGACGTGTGTCCGCCAGCCGTTCGTACGAAGCAAGAGCATCCTCTTCTTCGTTTATCTTAATATCCGAATCGGGCAAAACTATGGTACACACAACTTTCACCAAGGTTTTTGTCGGGCAGACCCAACACACAACACTCGATTATTGTTGGATGTGCTAAAGAACTGCTTCAATTTTTAGGGCAGATAATTTATATCCCCCCAACCTTTATAATATCAGCATCAGTACGACCCAATATGACATCGTAACCATTTTCTGCAATTATCTTGGCCTCCACACTAAGAATTGGCCTGCCGATTGTAGCACATTTTTTCTTCTGCCATTGAACGGGTTTGACAATGGCATGACAAGTTCGGTCAAGTTGTCTTCCGGCACCGGAGACTCTTTATCGGAAACTGAAAGTCTGTCATAAAAGTCGTTCTTGTCGACACTGTCGGTCTGCTCGGCGAACAATGCACGCGTCCCCGCTAGCCGAGGACAAGCGATCTGCCAATGGTCGACCTCGCCGCGACCGAAGCAAAACAGTCAGCTTACAGCCACGCGGAACACCTGCTGCCGTGGCCTGACCACCAGACTCGGCCCTTACTGCACGTTAAACACCTCCGTTTGGCGCGGTCGTGCGTCCAGCTCTCAGTGCTAACCCCACCAAGACACCCGCGCCAGTTACAACACGCCCGAACTACAGGCAAGAGTCGTCCACCTCGTGACGTGGCCAGCAAAATCGGACTTCGCCCATGCTCTCGTCGTCTCGATGATCGTCGCGCCATCCGAACCGTTTTCATCTTGTTGCACCTGTCAGAAGGCGAAGGGGTTGACCTCTGATAATGTCTCTTCGTCGTCTTCCTCGCCTGCATCAGTGGTGGCGTACGCTGACAGGGCGCACCGCCAGACCCTCTTCTGCCACAACCTTCGTGATAACCCTCGCAACCGCCCCGGTCGGACAAGTCGCAGTCCGTTTGCTCGTCCTGAGCCATGGTGTGGAGAGTTTGACGTATATCCCCAATTTCCGCGGACAGATCTGTAATCCGACGACCCATCGTCTGAAGCCGACGTCTAAAACCTCCTGCCTGGCGGCTGAGGTTGTAGAAGGGGGCGTCACGCCTGTCGTTTGCAACATCTTGTCCTCGCGACAACATCGTGAATCATGTTGACTTCTAATACCAACTGATGTAGAAAAGCGTACGAGTAAGAGGGAAGAATAAAAACTCAACAGATTTCTTATAATTTCATCAATCACCCACCGGCCTTATGACAAGAGATCACAATATATAAAGTCCTAAGTCTCCTAACTTAAAGACTAAATAAATATATACTTAGTAACTTAAATAGTAGTAACTAAGATAAATAAATATATCTTGCCCACAAGAAAGGCTAAATAAATATATACTTACTAACTTAAATAATACTAACTAAGGAAAATAATAATAATAAAGAATATGAAAAATAAATAAAGATCTAAAATCTTCATTCTTCAATTGTATCAAAAGAATCGAATATGACTCTGATAAAATAAATGGTGCTCTGCCCAACTAGTTTGAAGCACTAGTGGGTTTTTTCAAGCGGGCCCATAAAACGTACCCGTAAACCTCAAAGAAAAAAAGGAAAAGGACTCGCGGTTTACGATTACAACACGACTTTAAGGTTAAATCGGACAAAAATTTTAAACTTATGTGTAAAAGCGTATGTTCGCACCCTATCTGAGAAACTCCTCATCTGGAGCTCGATATTCCTCTCCAATGGCTGCTTTCACATTCTCTTCAGCACTGGCCTCCCTTCACTCCCATCGGATTTTCTCAAATTTTTCTCCTTCCGGAAATACTTTTGCCAGTTCCTTCTATTCTTGTCCCTACCCCACCGTTATCTCTTCCTCCGGACGCCGTAGTCTCAGATCTCCGCTCAATCGTCGCTGTCCGAGCGTCGTCGTGTCGGCGCTGAAGAAGCTGTCGGATTCCGAGGTGGTGGACGTATCTTCCGATTCCGAAGGAATATTACCCTCCGGTGCCGGCGTATACGCCGTCTACGATGGCAACGGGGAGCTTCAGTTCGTCGGCATAACGCGGAACCTCGCCGCCAGTGTCCTCACTCATAAGAAATCGGTGCCGGAGCTCTGTTTCTCCGTGAAGGTACCGAAATTAGTTCATGTTTTTGTCAAAGTGTGGCCTAATCAGTTACTTGCCATTTTTGCTTTGATACAAGGAGTTTGAAATTCACAAATTATTTTGTAGGACAGTCTAATGGTTAGACGAGTCAAGGGTCATACATTTATAACAAAAAATGCACAGTTATGTTGGTTTAGAGTATTATTGAAAGTATGCATATCTCTGAAAAAAGTATTGACTAATCCTTAAACAGATAGCCTTACTGTTGTATTTGTGGTTGAAGCAGATAGCCTTATTGTTGAGAACTTGTGGCTGAATTATTTTCTTTAGCTCAATCGAGGTAATTTGAACCAAGCATTACTATTGAGAAGTTGTGGCTGAATTATTTTCTTTAGCTCAATTGAGGTAATTATGAACCAAGCCTCGGAGCTGTGCTTTAGTTTTAGAAATTTGTTGTCAATGAGAGTCTAATCTGGTTAATGAGTAGAAACAATCATATCAACAAAAGGGAATTTTGATAAAGCAGCCTTGATACCAGGAGTTTGGAATTAACAAATTATTCTGTGATGTGAGGCAGTCCAACGCTGTTAGGTGGGTCGGCACGTCATACTGTTTTTAACAAAAATGTTTGTGCTGTGAATATCATAACTTTGTTTATGTTGCTTTGTAGAATGAAATTTCAGTTTGAAATGCGCAGAAGTATGATTATCTAACTGTTAGGTCTAACCAAAAGTTGTCTTATTGTTGAGAATTAGTTGCTGATTATTTTCTTTACCTCAATCTGGGTATGGGTAGGGAACTAAGCTTTAATTTTTGAAACTTATTATTGTCAATGAAAAGACACAGTCCAAGCTGGTTAACTGTTAGAAACAATCTTATCATCTGGACTGAATATTGGTAAAGCAGCCTTGTTCAATGCCAAACTTTGGTAGTGATACAGGCCATTGCTCGAAAATCTGTGTGAGTTCTGAATTGATGAATGTGCTAGTGTTCGAAAAGTAATCAGTTATTGGCACATACACGCATAAAAAAAGTCCATGATGTGAATAGGAAGCCTGATCTATGTAGCTTCACCCAACGAGTGGAGAACGAGTGGCCCAATTTTTGACGCAGCGAAAGTGTACGAAAGGGAAAAACAAGAATATATTCTTATTCAATATAATATTTTTTTTGGACAAGCTAGTAATCTAGGGCTTTGAGGAGTCTTATTTAAGGATTCCTCCTCTTTTGTTCTAGGCAGTTGAAGATCGAATAAAAAATACGTATTGGAGAGAGATTTCTCTTCTTCTCTTATTTCCCTATTCGCACGCTGCGCTACATCAATTTTCTGCGTAAAAAATACACTACATTCAGTCGAGTGAACATGTAGAGTTCTCTCCTGTCCCATCTTGGCAAATATTATCTTCTTGCGCAGGTTGCTGAAGTAGAGGACCCCGACAAAAACGCGCTAACCGAAGCATGGAAATCGTGGGTGCAAGAGCACATAGCCTCAACGGGCAAAGTCCCACCTGGAAACGAACCCGGAAACTCAACATGGGTCAAAAACGCGTCATCACGTAAAAAGGCCGACCTGCGGCTGACCCCTGGCCGTCACGTGCAGCTATCGGTTCCTCTGGAGAGCCTTATCGACAGACTCGTGAAGGAAAACAAAGTGGTGGCTTTCATCAAAGGGTCGAGAGGGGCCCCACAGTGCGGGTTTTCGCAGAGGGTTGTGGCCATACTCGAGAGCCAAGGGGTGGATTACGAGAGTGTGGACGTGCTTGACGAGGAGCATAACCGAGGGGTTAGGGAGACTTTGAAGAGGTATAGCAACTGGCCCACGTTTCCTCAGGTGTTTGTGAATGGGGAGTTGGTCGGGGGTTGTGATATTTTGACGTCCATGTATGAGAAAGGTGAGCTGGCGGGTTTGTTCGACTAGTAGGGGATGGATGTGCTCGTTTTTTTCGCTTTCGCGAATGTGTGAGGTGAGATTTGTAGAGTGTTGGGAATGGGTGAGCTGGCGGGTTTGGTCGAGTTGGGGATGAATGTGCTCGTTTTTCCTCGAATGCGTGAGGTGAAGGTGAACTGTGTTTCAGTGGTAATTCTTGGATTGGCCTGTGTGCTGTGTGTGAATTTTTTTTTTATTTTTTTTATTATTATTTTTTTTTAAGAGACTCATTTTAGTTGAAAATGGAGGAGTTGGAATTGGTTATGTTCTTTTCTTTGGTGTCACAAATTAGCTTGCATGTTCCTCCTGAAATAATTGTTCTGCGCTCGAGGGTTTTAGTTTCCCATTGTTTTAGCCAATTTATCTTGAACTACTCTTCTTCAATTAATTAGCATATTCATTATGCGATGGCCGATGAGAATGTGTAGATGAATGGAGACATAACCAATTTGTAGATCTGTGGAGACATAACGAATTTCTGTCTTTGCTACTTTAATGGGAAAAATTCAAAAAAGTGTGTGTTGTTATTATTGGGGTTTTAAAATTAGTTCTACTCGAGATATGCGAAATAGGGCTGCAAACGAGTCGAGTCGAGTATGGACCTTGTCGATCGCATCGAACTTTTTTTAACACTGCTTGAGCTCTACTTGTGAAAAGAATAAGAATGCACGGGCTCGACTCGATGTCTGACATGGCTCGAGTTCGTCTCGAAATTTTAACTAAATTTATAAAGGTATTGTTTTTACTTTAAAAATAAACAAAATTGACCTTCGTGTTCTAATATTTATAATAAAATTATATAGGATATTTATGTAAATAAAAAGTTGAGCGGCATTCGAGACTTGACTCATTTGCTCGATTGAACTGCTACTCGAACTTGGGTTTGATCGAGCTCGAGTCAAGCATTGACTCGAACACTCGCGATTCCCACTTAAGCACTCGCGAGCTGCTTGTGAGCGGTTCGATTTGTTTGCCGTCTCAGTTCGAGAATGCAGTTAATCAATAATAATTCCCTATTTTTTAAAATTAATCAAAGTAAAAAAATTTCTCGATACTTCATGTGTTAGTGCCACATATTTGCTAAATAAGAAATGAATAAATAATAGAAAAGGGTAACACTACACTCTTCTGGAAAAAAGCTAAAATATAGAAAACGGGACACAAAACTCCATATTTACCATCCAAAACCCTAATTGTGCTTTCTCCTGAGTTCAGCCGCTACGCTAGCAACAGCAAGAGCTGCAGGTAAGCGGCTACCTTACTTCTCCCTAACTGTAATCTTCGCTATAATTTCTGAACTTTTTTCTTCTAATAAACTGCGATAACATCGTATTCGTATCGAATCTGTTATGAATCTTTGAAACGGATAATGGGAAGGTCACGAGTTAATAAATAAATACCTTTGGTATGAACGTATTTCGAAAGAAAAATATTAAATCACTTGGAGCGTTTGGTTGAATTGCATTTTATCGTGCTTGGAAGGTGTTGGCATTTGATGAATCTTGAAACAGCAATTTTTTACCGTGTAAACGATAGGCAATAATCGAGCTTGGCTACTCTGTGCCTTTTGGAATTTTGGTTGAGTTTATTGGATACTTTTGACCAAATTGTTTTGGTGGATTCTTCNCAATCCAATGGAAGGTGTTGATTTACGACTTGAAGCCCAGTATTTGCAGCTGCATCTGTGTTTTTCAACATCCAAAATCCGAAAAATCGCAATTTCAAAATAATTACTCCATTAGCATCTTTTTTCTGTCCAAAGATATCAAGTGTTGTTTACGGAGAGAGATTCTATTTCATGTATGGCCCAAACCCACCGTATATACCCAGATGTCTGGTTTTTAATCTCAATAATTTCAAATAGTTGCATCTAAATTCGTGCACACAAGCATGTTCTTGTTTTCTATCTGTGGTCCAATTTTCTGAATTGATAACAATGTACGGGGACGAAGGGAGTCGATCAGACCTGAACTTTTTTATGTTTCATAACTATTGATCGAATAAAATTTCTCGATTAATCTGCAGTGAACATTTTTCTGAAAAAAGAGTTTCACGGACATGGCCAAGCACCATCCCGATTTGATCATGTGCCGCAAGCAGCCGGGAATAGCCATTGGCAGGCTGTGTGAGAAAGATGACGGCAAATGTGTGGTTTGTGATTCGTACGTGCGCCCTTGCACGCTCGTGCGCGTGTGTGATGAATGCAACTATGGTTCTTTCCAAGGCCGGTGTGTGATTTGTGGAGGGGTCGGGATTTCGGACGCGTATTATTGCAAGGAGTGCACGCAGATGGAGAAGGATAGAGACGGGTGCCCGAAGATTGTTAATTTAGGAAGCGCGAAAACCGATTTATTCTATGAGAGGAAGAAGTACGGATTCAAGAAGAGGTGATTCGAGTCATTGATTTTTCAAGTTTCTCACGAATGAAAAAGGAAAAAGTAATAGCTTTTGAATCTCTCAATTGTTGTGTATTATGTTATGAGTTATGACTTATGAGCATTCTTGGTGTGGCTTGTTGAAACAATTGATTTTGGGGGATGGATTGGCTTATTTGATATAATGTGAGTTTATCGTGAAATGTTGGTTAAAACTTATTATGCAAGTGTTTTTTTATAGTGTGACTAGTGAGAAGAAGTACTCTTTGTATTTGGATTTTGGATTGTGTCAAGTCTTGAATATTTTGTTGGCACCAAAAGTTGTTTTTCCGTGGAGTGTGGCTGTATGAGTTATGAACCTTATTAAAGCGAACCCTTTCATGAACTCTGTGGAGTATGGCTGAAATGAGCCAAGTTATTCAAGATAAAAGTTCATTTGGGTAGTTTGGTTCGCTTAATAATTAGATAGAAGTTAGTTCATTAGGGTAGTTTGGTTCTCTTAATAATGTTCGTTGAAATAAGTTTTAGCATTTAGTTTGTTAGCTTGTGAATGGCTTTACTAACAACTAATCATATTATATTTTTTAAAAATTAATCATAATTAACAAAAAAACTTATTTTGAGAGAATATATTTGTATCTAAGCACGCCCTTCCGAACAATAAGAGGATATATCATTGATTAAATCATGATGTGAGTGTATATATATATTAGCCCTAAGATATCCGAACAACAAGAGGATATGTCATTGATTAAATCATGATGCGAGTGTATATATATATTAGCCCTAAGATATCCGAACAAGAGGATATATCATCGATTAAATCATGGTGTGCGTCTATATATATATATATATAAGCGGAGCCCGAAATCCTAAGATCCTAAGATATCCTCCAAACAACAAAAGATACTAACGTATTCTGATAAGTGGACAAGTTCGCCATCACCCAAGATCACACGAGTAAAATTCATGCCGATACTGAAAAAGAGCATCATGTGGAACTCTAACATCAAAAGTTGTAATATTAAGAGTTTTCCCAAAGTTTTGGCACCACACAAGTAATTCATTATCCATATTTTCATGCATATACTATATTTCTTGATAACAAATTATTCAACAGTTCAAACCAAAAAAAAAAAAAAAAGTCGATTGGAACAAAGAGGTCGGTCGGAGTGTGATGATAGTTGTGTAGAATAGGTCTCGACTTCTAAATTCACGAGTCTGGCAAACTGACAATCGACTCTTAACATTCTAGGACCATTGACCTCCATTAATGCCATCTGTGACTCTTGAACTAGAAATCCTTCTAGCAACAAGATCTTTGAGCTCTATCTCCCCTGGGAATCTTTTCTCCTTTAGTTTAGAAAATACCTGCTCCATACAAGACTAGTCAAAAAGGTTCACCAGTAATTATTCAAAAAACAATAGTATTTGCCGACTCAACCGAATGGATAATTGCACAAGCAAAACTATGCATTAGCATTGTATGGTCATTTAGTCAAATAACCACCAAGCAAGACCCACCAATACCTCAATAGTCAAGAATTTCTAGTTTTCACACACTTAAAAAGCAATCATGCATATAATCCGTACCCTATTTGCATGCAAGGAAAAAAGAAAAAAACTACGCAATCAATCAACAAGGGCTTTGCAGGAATCATACCACTCCAGTTAATTAAATTATAACACCAACTACTGTTGAAAGAGAGAAATCATTACCAATTCACCATTGCAGTACACTTCAAAAGCACCCGAGCTCTGCAGGAAGGACTGAAGAAAGTTTCCGAGCAGCCAAGTGCTTGCCATACTCCCAAATCTATTTGCTCGCATGGAATAATACCACTGTGGGGGTGCAGCAAATCCCAATCTCGGGAAAATTTGTTCACCACCAATTATTATACCGATCACACCAAACTGCACAATCGGCACCAATTTGCTTAACACGCGCTTGGGGAAAGGAGGAGGGTAATTTGCAAGGACCACATTGACTCCCGGAAATTGACTTTCTAACATGTTCTTCATCGTGACTGCTGTTCCTCTATTATAAGGGGGGAAAAGACACACAGAAGTTGCATAAATGCCCCACTAAAGATAACATGGAAGGAGTATGTATTTTTATGCTCCTTATTTTTTGTAAAATATTTTTCCTTGCACTATCCTCAATCACTGCAAAATAAACACTACTACTCCAATGCATATTAAAAAGATCCTCTTTGGTGTGCCAGATCTACATTCCTCAGGAACAGAGTATTCTACTTCTGAACAAGAAAAGCATGCCAATTACAATCAGAGGTGGAAATTCATGCTATCATATTGTTTGTGTTAACTATTTTACTCGATTATAGATATGTTACTAAATCCAAATTTAAGTATTTTTTTCTTTTTATTTTGTGCTTTTCGTGCCGTGAACATGTTGTGTTGTGCAGATTGCGCCATTTGTTTCTACTCTCTACAATCATGTTTTATAATCATGTCGTGCTAGCCATTGTCACCCCTAATTACAATGAGTGAGCTCCATCTAACAGATTCCCTTCATCTATGGAAGTGAATTTGGTTCATCATGATAATAATGACTAAAGATAATATATATGTTGTCCATAACCTACTTTACTATGCAAATGGGAAGCAACAAATTGAAAATCACACAGAAATTACGCAAAATCAAAGTATCCAAACAGCAAAATTGATCAAAATAGAAAAAGGAACTTAAATGACCTGTAAGAACAGGAAGAACAGAAGTCGATGCTAATTGAGTTTCCAAAACCGATCCCGCTAGCTTTCTGCTCAACATCAAGCATAAACAAAAACGATAACATTATTATACCTGAATGCTCCAAATGGATCCGCAAATTAGCGCTGCAAATTCAAAGTTCATTATGAAAAAAGATATGAATTAACACATAAAAAGCCAGTCTCTCGTAACATGCCAACTGTGTGTTTATCGAAATCGACTAATTTTGAAGTAATTCAGTCCAATTCAACAATACCTGGAAGTCAAATAAGATCCCTTCCATCTAAATACTGAAAAAATTAGGGCAAACCTGAGTCGGGAACTCAAGCGACGGCTGCTGTTGTTGGATAATTGGCTGTGAATCTGGTTGGTAACGGTGGTGTTGGTGTTGGTGGTGGTGGTGGTGGGGAGCGGCGGGCTTCGCCGGCGGCGGAGAAAAGAGGTGGAAGATGTCGGAGCATAAGAGGAATAACGGTAGACCCACCAACAGAAGCTGCGTCCGATCCATGGTTTCGCCCGACCCCCGGTTGTGTCGAGAGACGTACAAAGAACAAAATTGTGAAAAATAAAAAAGAAAACGAAAAAGCTAAAACTGGGAAGAAAGTCCCAATGGAACTTAGAAGTTAGAACTTGAGCTTTCTTTTTTCTTTTTTCTTTATTTTTATTTTTTTATTTATTTATTTTTATCAAACCAAATCCAAACCTATTGGATATATTGATCCAAGAACCAAACGTATATTTAGGCAGCGGAATGCCAGATCGGAGATCTAGTTTGATCGTACCTAGAGCTTGAAAACCTCGACCCGTTAACTATATAATCAGCTTGGAACCTCGATATGGTGAACGCCACAAGATCTTGCTCAAGTATCTTGATAAGTTCTTACAACATTTGAATTCTACAAAAGAGAATTCAAACTCACAAAAGTGATTTTTAATATTCAGCAATATTCATAATATTCATTAAAACGTAAAATGGCCTTTTTAAAGGCTACAAATGGTGCTAATTAGTTAATCCCGTTTTTGGGACTCATTATGCACTAAAAATATAGTTTTGACCACATATGAATCTTACATAAGGTTTGAATGACCTTTTGACTTCTAAGATAATTAAAGAGCCATTTTGGTCTCAAAAATGCTGAAAATAGATAAAATAATGGACACTTTAATTGGGCTTCACTCAATGGACGAAATTAAGTCTTCAATCCATAGATTAGTCTTTATGTGAACAATCTGGCCCATCAACTTGAAGAATATTCACCGTTTTGTCTTCAATCGGTGTTTCTTACGTCTTCTCTTAAAATTCAACAGTAAGACACTCATGGCTTCTTTCATTTTACTAGCCATTTCCCTTATGATCAGCTCTGCATTTATTTTAAACAAATCAATCTTACTGTGAATGGAGAGCTTCGACCGAATCCCATAAAACTTTGGATTGATTAGATATAGTTACTAATTTTTTAATAATTAAAATATTCGATTTTAGATTAAAAAGCCATTAAAAAGTTTATAAGATGAGTTTTTAATGAAACATATTTTATGAAAATTCAATAGTGTAATGTGTAATTTTTTGGTTATTAAAAAAAACAAAAACTCAATATTTGTCAAACCTTAAATTTTTTAATGAGTCAATCACTGTGTTCAAGCATCATACATTTTTAACAAAAGACTATCATGTTAATAAATCACATACTTTTACTCATGTTGATTTTTAAAACATGACATTTCAATTTGAAAAATATGTACATTTATTAAAAATATATATAAATGCCACCTTTTAGCCCTATCTAATAGCGGTAACACGAAAATTATTTTTGTAAGATTTTGGTCATATATGTATAATCTGTTTTCGTTTTTTCTATGTGTGTGTGGTAAGATAGCTTAATAGTTAACACTCAACAGTAACTTCTAACTATATCAAATTTCACATTTCTAACTTTACATATACAGTATTTCAGCATGTACAGGTCTGATCATGAGTAACCAATTTAATTGACAAGGACAAAAGTAAAAGGGGTCCGAAAAAAAAAAAAAGTTTAGCAACAAAAAATATTGAGAAGAAATCTCGGGCATTCTACTAAATATTGAGAAGAAATCTTGGGTCCATATACAATTTTATTACTCTCGGCATTGACACTCGAGAAAAGAGAGTAAATCCTACAAATACAGAAGAACGCTCTACAAAGAAAATTCTGGCCACAAACATCGGCAAAATACAAGACGAACTCCCATCGATGATCAAACCGTGTAAATCTTTCTCACCCTTTTTATGGGCCGACGGCAGATTGGGCAAACTCCCGAGCTTTCGACCACCCTGTAAACCTCAAATCAGGTTGCAAATTTTTCATATATAACATCAAAATGAAAACACGAAAAAAATGAAAATGAAAACAAAGAGACCACAAATGCTCGAATATATCAAAAAACCGTTGTTAACTTAATCAATTACATATGAGTGCATGTATTTGCTTTTTACCTTGTCGAGCATCCATAACAAGCCGCACAGTGTCCACACGGAATGAAGAAACTATCCTTTGGAGCATCAAAACAGATTGCGCAAATCTGCTTATTTTCGTCGTCTTTAGCTGCCTTTGCACCTTGCGACATATCCTCTTTACGCTCTTCATCATCCGAGACCGAAGCATAAGAGGAGCCCCAGCTGGGGGCATCTTCGTCTTTATGCAAAAGCAAAGAGTTTCTCTCCTCTCCAAGCTGATCCCGGCTCGTGTCTTGTTCAGTTCGTCGAAAGTGGTTCAGGAAGTAATTTACGAGCAGCAGAAGAAAAGTTATTCCAGCTGTACGTGAAATAATGGACACGAAATTAGAAATTTTATGGTTTTTTTTATAATAAAATAAATAGTTTCACGTAAGTTATATTTGTCACGCACCTGTACCAACCAAATATGTAATCCACCTAGGTCCATATGAGAGTTTAACATTCCAATCTCCACTCACTATACCCTACAGAACATAATAAAGATGAAAAGAGAATGCTGAACATCTTCAAAAATCACAAGTAAATTCCATATGCTGAAAAGATGTTTGACTTGTAAATCTATTTGCAGGATTTTGCAATAACTATTAAACTATTTCAATTTTCAACATCTAGCCCTTTATTTCCCTTAGTCGACAGGTATACTCCATTTTATTACAATCAATGTAATTATGTCATTTGTGTCAATCCTTGGGTCAAAGAAGAGTGACTCACGGGCGATCGGCCAGGAGAGGTAAGAACAGCTGCATTTCCACTTGAGATAAACAGTTTGAAAGTACATTGGCCCTCTGAAGGTGTGCATTTGTAATATGAATCTGTTGTATTATAAAGGGAAGCCCGTATTGTGGTATTTAGATGCACCTGTTTGTGATATCAATATGTGAAACATGCCCAGACAAATCATTTTGCAGTCGGATATTCCTTTGAGAAGTGTAATGTAATGTAAAATAATTGGAGAAGAAATTTACTGTGAAACACTTGCCTCTGCATATTCATTATTCAAGTTACCAACTGCAATGTAGTAAGTAGAAGAATCAGAGATGTCCTTCTGAATTACGCCAGTTCCTGAAAGTCAAACCAGTAGGTTACATGAAAAAAAGAAGTAAAAACACAAGTTCTCCACTAGTTTTAACCTCACCATTAATAATATTCCATGACAGGGTTATATTTGGGTAGGATGGCTCCTTAAGCCACTCACTAAGGCCAGCTTCCCCTGCCAGCATGTAGGGAAGATCTTAGAATGCACTTTTTAGACCGTGATAAATCAATGTCAAAATAACAACACGAAATGCCAGCAGAAACAACATTTTCCCAATACTCGTCTTGCTTTATAATAAGAATTGGTAGGTAATATAAAAGGAACTTAAGAAAAGCAATAAAAGAGTTCTTTTCCTGCTTACAAGAACAAAGAACGATTTAATCAAGAACATTAAGCCATAGCTAGACACATGTTGCCCAACTTTGAACACAAAGCGAAAACTGCATTCCCACTATCACACACCAATGGACATGTCAATTGGTTGCAATGAGAAAACTGCATGCCCCTCTCGACACAAACAGCCTTTCCTTTTCAAAACAAGATATCGAAGATACATCTATTCTCGATACAGCGCACTGTATTCGAAATGAACTAGCTTCACAAATAGAAGTTACCTTCCGCAATTACAAGAATAAGATAGGATGAACTTCGGGAGTTCACGCTATAAGATATGCTTATCTGAGATCCTTCATTCAAATAGTATACCCATTCCTGTCATATGAGAAAAGCCCAAAAGAAAGAAAAAGAAAAAAAAAAAAAACATTTATGGCACATATATACCGGGACAATATCAGAAGTTTGTAAGTTTATCTTTTCAGTACTAAGACAACATATATAAAATAAAAATCACTGCTTATGGATCTCACCTTGTGGGTACTGGCAGGAAGAGTGATCTTGTGAGTCTCAGACCATGTAGTCTTTACATCAAGAGGTGGATCTTTATAAAATCCATACAACATTGCACCTTTTGATGCATCTACAGCTATCACCTGATACAAGTATGATTAACTAGGAGGACGATGTTTAGAAAATTGGTAATGCGTAAAGGCATAAATTATCTGCAAAGTTAGCATGTGAAACAGACTACCTTAATATATTCCACGAATAAGTGGTTGGGTTTCATCAATATTGAAGAATTAGGTCCAAGCCTCAAAGTCTCAGATGCATACAGCCCGAATGCCATAGTCATAACAACTGAATATCAGAAAAAGTAATAATAATAATAATCAAAACCAAACAAACAAAAATCTGTAGTTTGCGCTAAAAAATATTAAAAGCTACACAGCACAGCAAGTGCAAAGGATCGAGAAACAATTGCTGACTTGAAGTTTCTTGCATTTAACTAGCTAAAATGTCCCAAAATACAAAGAAAATCCAACGGCAAAATGGAAACATCTCCATAAACTAAATTACAGAATTATCACATGCTACTGCATTTCTTTCTTAAAGTTTAAACTAGGAAGTAATGCACTAATATTAGGTTATTTAGTAGTCACGTCAATATTGTTATATCGCTATGGATGACTTTACTTTGCAATACACTCATATCTACATACAAATTCTCCTGTTATGTACAAAAAATTCACTCACTAGATTATCAATTATCATGTATAGCACAACATATCACAAAAATCAGCCCCAAAACTACTAATATACAGAACTTATAACTTATACGATGCTTCTAGGATAAATAAATAAATAATAAGCACATGGAACACACCGTATGTCGACAACATGGATTGATAAAAATAAAATAAAAAATCAATACAATGAAAATGCAGCTCGACAAGTCCCCCAAAAAGATTTCAGTTCACTGTCAATCATAGAATTATCTTGTGAAAAATGAATCTACAGAAATCTATAGACAACCCGAAATCCTGATATTTATTCTTGCAAAGATTGAATCCTCAATCAAAAGAAATCTCATAATAATCCAACTACTTCAAAGTCTTCCATGTAGCTGGACCAATACTTAAGCACCCTTCTGTATAAGTATCAACATCTAGTGGGTACATAACAAAGTATGAGCAGAAAAATAACTATTAACCCAATTAACTGAGCAAAATGAATAGCAAGCAGCTTAACCCTCAAAAACGGGGTTGAACAACAATAACATACGAATTAATCAGCTCAAATTAATCGAAATTATGCAACTAATTCTACATCCAAAAGCACGAAACCGTCCGAAAAGCCTCATACATAAAAAATTACTGAAGAAATCGCGAGTACACTGCACAGAAATCTCAATAACCTTACCGAAAAACGAGAACGTGGTCGAGGCAACAAAGCAAGACATAGGATCGTCCCTCGTCGCCGATGACCCACCGCCGTTCATCAAGGCGCCCTCGTTGTTCATCCCCTCGAAACGCTCCTCGCGAGAATAGTTTCGCCGGAACTCCGGAAACCTCTCCGGGAACGGCAGCGGCGGCGACTCCTCATAGCTCTCCCACGTCGCCGATGCGGAGGCCCCGCCGGAATATTCACCACCGGTCGACGACTGATCCGCTCGTTCCATTTGCAGCGAATTGGGAATAATTGAACAAGATTTCAAACACGGTAGGAAGGAAGATTAGGGGTAGAAGAAGCCATGGGGATTTGAGAAATGGAGATGAAATAATATTTATTTATTGTGCTTTTGTTTGGGAAGAAGTCGTTGGCCGTGAGACTGGTGGTTACATACGGCGGTTGGGTTTGACGTGGACCGGGTTCGGTATTGTGCATGGGTTGGGTGGTGGTCCAAACTAAGTTTAGGTTTATTGATAATACATCAAATTAGGCGCGTTTTTGTGAACGAAAATAGTTGCTCTTAAGCTCTAACATAACTCGTTAAGACTATCATTTGGTCTGTTAATTGGTTGATACACGAGCAGAGTCTGAGCTGAGTCGAGATTTGTTCATTCGTTAGAGCATTCACAATGCATTGAGTCTAATTTTACCTATGTGGCAAATAAATAGACTTAAGTTCTAAATGACATGGACAAATTCAAGTAAAAAAACTCAAAAGTTATTCAATGCAAAAATAAAATACTAGGTCTAGCATACATGTCAACCAATAAAAATGATCTAATATGTTTCCTATATTAAAATAAATATTAAATTAAGAATAAATGATGAGTGTTTGAGTTTGTACTTGTGTTCAAAATAGACCCAAGTGTGGACTTGGTCTCTTTTTGTTATTGCCACATAAATTAGACTATGTCTACTTTTAATTACATTGGGGGACATTTTCTTATAGACTAGATTTATTTCCTACATGGCATGTGATTTTTTGTTAAGAGACCCAAAGCATTGTGGGTGCTCTTAAAGGTTTGAGTTCCGCTTAATTTGTTTGCACTCATAATCAATTTATGGAGATAAACGAGGCGACTCGAGCTTGGTTATTTGCTCGTTTAGTTAATGGGCCGAGCCGAGATCTATCCGTTAAAGGGTTGAGCTCGGCTCGACTTGTTTACATTCCTAATTAATTTGTGGAGATAAACCAGTCAAACTCGAGTCTGGTTATTTGCTCGTTTAGTTAACGAGTCGAGCTGAAATTTGTTAAGGTTCAAGCTCGGCTCGACTTGTATACACTCATAATCAATTTATGGAGATAAACGAGTCAAACTCAAGTCTGATTATTTGCTCGTTTAATTAACGAGTCAGGTAAAGCCGAACGGGATTTGTTCATTGAAGGTTCGAGCTCGGCTCGACTTGTTTACACTCATAACCAATTTATGGAGATAAACGAGCCAAACTCGAGTCTGGTTGTTTGCTAGTTTAGTTAACGAGTTGGGTCGAGATCTGTTCCATAAAGTTTGAGATCAGCTCTACTTGCTCACACTCTTAATCAATTTATGGAGATAAACAAGCTTAGCTCGAACCTGGTTATTTAATCGATTAGTTAACGAGCCAATCGAGTAGAGCCGAGATCTATTTGTTAAGGGTTCGAGCTCGGCTCGATTTGTTTACACTCATTATCATTTTATGAATGAACCTATAAGAAAATCACCAAGAATTTCTATCAAATTGTGTACATATCAAGTACTTTTACTTTTAAATATACAAAAAATACAGAGGTGTGATCATGAATGTAGATCACTATATCGTTCCAACATATATACAATGCTATTGATCACAATGTTTACATAATTGTATTTTCATCATTATAATGATATATGAGTTCTACGGATCAATCAAATATAAAATAAAATAAAACACATCACACTCCATTTCTCTTCTCCTTTCCTCTCATAGCTCTTTTGTTCAAATGTTTTAAAGTAAAGTTGCAAGCCGGGTCGAGCCGAGCAATGACCTTCCTTGATTTTTTTCGTCATTGTTCCTCGGGCTCGATGAGCCAAAATTTTGAAGGCTTAGCTCGACTCAACAAAAACGTTCAAATGACCGATATCAACTAGAATTTAACTCAAATTCGACTCAAAATTTCACTAGAAAATGACTATTCAAATAAGAAATTTGGCTTGAAATTTGCTCGAGTATGGCTCGCATTTAACTCGATTTAAGTAAATTACACTTATACTCAAGCAAGTCGTCGAGCACTCAATCTAGTAAAATATAGAGGCTCGACCTTCGGCTCAAGTTCGAGGTTGAACTGCATGAGCTCAAGTCGAGCTATGACTCAGGTGCTCACTAGCAGCTGCTAGATTCTTTTGCAGCCTAACCTACTAATGACAGGTGTAGTCTTCGTACATGTATATCGAGAATTAAGAGATACCCATTCATCCGAGCCAAGGGCTCATAAAATACGAATTACATTGAAGTTGTGTGGAATGCAAGAAAATAAAAGTTAGCCCATCCAAAGAACACACAAAAATATTTGCCAATGTTGTCCTAAATGTCAAGCCATTCCCTTTGCCAAGTTGAAATATGGCTGCTCACATTGACAGTAGTTGAACCATTAGAATTAACCACATAGTAAGGCGAATCCTCGGAAAATTCAGCAGTCATCTTCAACCAATAGAGACTTGGCTCCCAATCGATCTTCTTGAGAACCTTAAGTATCTCCTTCACCACAATCTTCGAACCTTCAGCCGACAAGTGGATTCCATCTCTGTATAATGTTATACTATTCAGTTTCACGATTCACTCAATCAGTTAAAAGATGAAAAGGAAATGTAAATATTAATCATTTTCTTCGCGATGCTGATAGCAAGTGTTGAATATAATTGGCTTACATGAAGCAAGCATTGGCCCAATCATCTCTTTCTTGAATTGCTGTCCAGAGATTGATGGCCTCAACATCCATTTCCATGCACAAATCTACCAAAGCTTCTGAATATATACGACAGCTCTCGTTCGTCCGGGCTTGATCATCGAGCCCGTTACTGATTTTTTGGTGAGAAACAAATATATAACTTTTCGAACAAGAAAGTAAAACTATACTTACTATAATAGCATAGACTTTATGGTTTTACCCAAATATTTCACGAACTTTCGCTTCGTTCACGGGAGGCGATGTCAGACATATTATCCGTGTCTCATCAGAAAGACTCTGAAAATTTGATGAAATGTTGTTAGAATTTTTTTTTATTTTTTTTTTATTTTTTTTTTTATTTTTTTTTTTTCCGGTCAATAATTAGTTGCTGTTCACAATCAATCATCAGAATTCAGATGCCAGTGAACACATATTCATTACCTGATCTTATAGTAANAAATGTGTCATAAGTTCGAATAAAAACTATAAAAGGGATAACTCTTGATGTGGGTACATTATGCATGAACCATCGATAAGCAAAAAATATATTTTCATGGAAAAGCTGAACAATATATGTCAAACTAGAATAATTATGCATTGTGTTATGAACACTGTATATATATACCTTGGGAAAGACTATTTCCAAGATTTCGAGAGCCATCCTCGTATTCCAACCAGAGTATCCTCTTAGTACCACATCAGCCTTCAACAGTTTTAGAAAATAAATAGTTCATTAACTAGTCAAATTGGATTGTATATTCCTTAAGGAAAAATGGCCGATGGCAAGTTTTACTAAGAACACTATTTTCCATCTTAAGTGTCTGCAAATCCCAATAGAACTTAAAGAAAACACAACACTGCTAACCACATCCCTACATAAAAATGCCGTTTACTTCTCCACAACAATTTCATTTTTATCAATCAGAAAAACCAATAACGAGAACATTGAATACAAAGACATAGCCAACAAGAGGGATAAGCAATCGAAAGCTTCTATTAACGATAATCAAATAACCAATACCATCAGTAAACGACAATTTAGAAATATTCAGAGCCCAAATATGGAAATCAAAGCCATCCCATAAGAAGTCCAAGATCGATCTTTTCGACTTAACCTAAAGTTACAGGGTTATTTCCAAATACGTAGCTAAGTCAAAAATTGCTAACACAAGTGCATAATCCTTTGGAAAACAAAAAATCCACTTTTCAAGATTATAAAAATCCCATTAAAGCTCTATATCTTGACCAAACACCATCCAAAAATATAGGTAGATTCGTAAGACCAAAAATATTATGTCCCAAACCAGAAATAAATGAGCTCCCAACAAAGAATCAGCAATAAAGACAACACAGCAACCTAAGTATAAAGTGTGCCCAAAACTATTGAAACACATCAAATAAAGAAGCAGAAAAATGGTACCTTTCGAGTGTAGAGGTCGGCAAATATGGAACCCCAGCCTCCAACGTTGTAGCTCATCTGAACTATGGATGACCCGAATAGTACGAACTGCGGGCGACCCGGACCCACCATTTTTCTCTTGCTGTTCTTCTTCTTCTTTTTCTACTTCAGCTGCGTGTTGCTGTGTGCTTTCTAAATTGTGCTCCGATTGTGAGTTAAAAAGAAAAAAGGAAAATAATTGGGTGGGTGCGAATAAATAATATAAAATATTGGGTGCGAATAAATAATATAAAATATTTATTTCTTAATTCCCCGAACGAGATTTGAGCTGCCTTGCTTGACTTCACCATTATTGATGGGACCATAAATTTCAGACAGGATATCGTTTGAGTTTTTTAAAACTGAACCATTGATTTTGCTAATCTTACTTACAAAGTAGTGAAGACAATTAGTTAATTATGTCATGAAGATAAGAATTNTATTTTTTAACGATACTGTAACTTCCCTAGGTAGCTTACTATATTCACTAATTATTAAATAAGGTTTTGGTACAACGTGGAAAATCTCGACTTTATTCTTCAACTTCTCTAAGTAGTTTATAAAAAAAGTTTATAAATTTTATTAATTAACTTATTAATTAATTTTACTAAATATATTTATATATCAACCAATTTTCCATCCTTTAATTTATAACTTCGAATTAATAGCTTCTTAACAAGATTTGTACGCCAAAAAGTTCAATTACATCTATCTATACTTATATAATAAGGGGTACCATTTACAAAATTTAGTAAGTTGAAAAATCAATGCAATAAATGCATTACTATTTTGAGCAATATAATATAATATCATATCTATACTTATATAAAAAGAAATTATATTTAATACATTTACTATCCAGAAAAGTCAACTGCATTAAATGTCATTACTATTTTGGTATTATAATATTTTATTTATTTAATTGATTTATTTATTTATTTATTTTTAAAAAGTAAGTATAATAAAAATATTTTAATAATAAAAAATTCAAATACCAAATAAAAATGTACACTTTGACTTATTTGATTATATTTGGTATTTGATTATACCAGATATATTCCTATTTAGTATATACATTAAATACTTACTAAAGTATTTATTTGTTTTATTTGTCAAAGTTAAGTATAGATTTGTTTATATTATCAAATCATAAAAAAATATTAAATCCATATTGTAAAAAAAAAATTATATAATTTTATAACAATACTACTACACTATTTAACAATATTCTTTTTCATTATATAATAAAATAATAATTAAATATTATATGGTGAATAACAATAAGTAAAACTGTTACTTTCTCTTATATCAAGGAATAAATTTATATGCTAAAATTAAATTTTTATTAGTATAAATGTTTTAGTGAGATAATATATTAATTATTTTACAAGCTAGCCCTAACATGCTCATATTTAATGTTTTAAAATATGTAGAAAAAAACTTATAATAACTCTATTGTTTTTTAGACTTAAACATTGATTAAAAGAGGTAAAAGTTCCTAATTTTTTAGACTTAAACGTTGATTAACACCATAGATTGAGAGTCTATATTTAGTAAAATTCCTAATTGTAATAAAAAAACTACAATGAAAAAAGCAAGTCAGCTATATATTGATTTGTTGTACTCCTCAAATCACATTCACAATTTGGCTATAAGGAAAGGAAACTCATTGATTAAAATATTATTTTGTCAGTATTTTAATGTACAAGAGACTTTAAGACTCCACTTGAATATTATAAAACTTTTATTGAACATTGTACAATTTTCTTGCGTATTATAAACTTTTATTGAATATTGCATCTTATAATATAATATTCTCCAAATAAATATATCCCGTGCTTCGCACGGGTCACGTACTATATATATCATGTACATTTTTCTTTATTCATGTATAATTATAAATCTGGATAAATAGCCTTAAAATTGTGCACCCCGTGCATCGCACGGGCTCTGTACTAGTGTTTTTAATAAAGAATCAAGTAACATTTAATGTTAGCACAAATCATGGGATTTGTTATATAGATACATATTTGAATTTCAAACTTCAAACAAAACATGCCTAACTGTATTTTGAATTTTTTAGGGAAAAAATTTAACAAACACGTTAAAGATGTCATACAATACATATATTTATATATATTATCTTAACATATAGGTTAATTAGTTTCATTCTAAATAATATATATTTAAACAATATATATACAAATATAATAATTTATCGTACAATACAGACAAATATATAAACAATATATTTATATACAAATATAATAAACAAATAAAATAAACAATACAAACAAATATACAAACAATATATAAACAAATATAAGAACTTGTCACGTGTATATTTCGTACGATACATATATTATTTGTATATATTATCTTAACATATAAGTTAATTAGTTTCATATCTAAACAATATATATTTTAGGAACTTAAAGATTCATAACATTACTGACATCATGTATTTTATAATATATTGTCACGTACATTTTACTACAATTGGTAACTTTTTTAAATTTATTTGAATAACTGGAGGTTGATTTGTAATTTGAATTTCAAATTCATTCAAACATTTAAAGGAAAATATCATAAGCAGATTTTTTTTAATACATTTTATTTTATCTCAACTTACATATAATCACGTTCCTACCTAACATTAAATTTGCTTATATCTTTTTAAATTAATTACATCACTAAATAATATTAATATACATTACATATTTATCATTATATAATAAATATATTACTTCTACAAGTGTTATAAATAATAATGACATTATATGATAATAGATTTTTTGATAGATTAATAATTGAGTATTTTGATGAGCCAAAATATGTAAAATTATTATTATTTTGTATTAAAAAATAAATATATATGTTAAAATATTATTTATAATAATATATTGGTTCATCATGCTATTATAATAAATTTTATAATAAAATAATATGAGTATTATACGAGGAACAAGATAACGTAAAATTGTTATTTTTCTTATACCAAGGAATAAATATATATAATGAAATTAAATTTATACTATTATAAACATGTGAGCGAGATAATCTATTAATTAATTTACGGTCTAGCGCTACCACTACCAGGCTCTCGACAAAAAAGATGACGTTGATGAAAGAGGTAAAAAAAATAGATGATCAAACTCTATTACTTTTTTAGGCCTTAACTGACAAGCCCTATTGTCCACTCATTTAATATCTCTCGTGAATCACACGAGCTACTTAACAGACAAACTCTGTGGAAATGACTCATTTAATATTTATGTCCCGTGCATCGCACGGGCTACGTACTAGTTATTATATAAAGAGGTAACTCAATAAATCCTAAAATAGTAGCTAAAAAATGATTAGAATTCCCGCCTAAAAATTTACTAAACATAGTAACTTTTTTAAAAAAATTTAGAAATCCCACCCAAGCATAATTTGAAATTTTCAGTCAAAAGTTTAAATTCAAACGTTTAAATAAAGGATTGTCTGCAGATTTTTTTAAATATATTTAATCTTTATCTTATGTTTCAAATAATCTCTTCATTGTAGTTCAAGTTTAATGTACATTAAATATTTATTATTATTATTATTATTATTATTATTATTATTATTATTATTATTATATAAAGGTTTAATTATTTTTTAAATAGTAAATATTTTCCAAAAAAAAAATCTATTTAATATTTTGAATAATTAATTTAACAATTTATAGTATATTTCAAATAATCACTTATAAAATATGCGTCTCATTTTACTTCGGATGATTTACCCAAACATGTCAATTTCGGATGCAATATTAATTATGTGATTTGCTAAAAATGTCCAACTAAATTGTGTAACTTATTATTTAATAAGTATTTTATATTTTTCATGTAATTCTTTTATGGAATGTATTATTTTTTCTGTTACCATATGAAATGTATTTTTAATATAGAATAATTACGCAAATTGTTAATTTACTTAATAAATGTTATTCATTTTTTGTGTATTTAATTATTCAACTTGTGGATAATTAATCAAATAATATAAAATTTACATTTTTAAGATATTCTAATTACACAGGTCATATAGATTTTGTTGATTTATTCAATTATAAATTTTTATAAAATTGTTCCAAGATAATTGTGTTAATTGCAATTTTCTTTCAATTATTTTTTAATAACTATTTTTTGGGTCTTTTTTATTTTTATCTATGAAAAATGTGGGTCTCTATTTTGTTTTCTACGTTGGGCAATTAATTTGTGGTAAAAGTAATTATCATTTTTTGTATTTTATTGATAAAGTATAAAATATAATTATTTAGTATACTATATATTGATCCAATATACCGGCTTATGGTAAGAAATAGTATCTCAATACTTTTTTTCCATATTGCTAAGCATTTTACTCGATATTAATGAAAGAAAAATCTAGAGAAGGTCGATACTTCTTTATAAATATATATACCAAATTATTTGGTATATATATGTATTAAATCGACCAATCTAATTAAATTACACAATACTATTCACACAACTTAACAACCACAACGAAAAAAAAAAATTGAGATACCCAATCATACCATAACAATCAGTCCATCTCATACAGTAATTGATAAACAAGTAATATACTAACAGGATTTAGTAACATCCCAACTGATCAACAGTAGAATATTTCTAAATTGAATTTCATCCAATCAAAAAAATTATACCGCATTTAAATTAAATGAGAATTTGATTAACAATTAACTAAAAATATAATTGTCAAACAAAGTAACATTTAATGTATTAAATAAAGTAAACGTTTTACATTACAGAAATCGTGTACTAAAGAATTCGTACAATTTTTAAATTGATTTATTGCAATTTCTTTATACTTTTCATATAAAAAATATTTATGGAATTTAACTAAATTATACTTTGTTTTTCCTTTATAAATTCAGTCATTTTTCGATCATTTGTTGTTATCCTTCATTTGATATCATTTTTAATATTCTAAGTATTGATTTTATCTTTTATTTAATTCAAGATTAAGTGCGAATTTGGTTTGATCAACAAAGTCACTAGAACTAAGAAACTACATATGAAGTTGTGAATAATTGAAAATAAATTTGCTGTTGAATACAAAAACTACTTGGAAATTTTCTTTCATGATGAGGAGATAAGAATAAATAACTTATTTTGAATTCATTTTTCCATTGTTTTTTTTACTTCATTATTTTTTTAACTAAACATGTTTTATGTAAATTTGCACAATTTAAATTTTATAGGTAAAATGCATTACATGTATATTTCATATTTTAACTTTATAAATATTATATAATGAGCATATTTACTTTATAAATATTAATTAATATTTCTTACCCGTGCACCGCACGGGATTCATACTAGTTATTTAGAACGACCCAACTCGTTATATTTAAGCATTCTAATTAAAATTGAGAAAAAAAATCCCAAATATTTTTCATATTTGCACAGCAGCCCCAAATAGCTTTCAATTACTTAGCCCATCCTGTTTACCGTCACAGGTTCTTACAAGCAGCATAATAACTTCAACATGATGATTACATGAAATATAATAAACAAGGCACATGCCAAAATCACACCAATCAAAGTGTGATTTTGAATAAATCAATAACCCNCGGATAAAATCGAGAATCTTTAGAAAATTCGGGTTTTATCGACATCCAATACAGGCTCGGTTTCCACTCAGCCTCTCTAAGTAGTTTTAGTATCTCCTTCACAACTATTTTGCTACCTCCAGATGACAAATGTATTCCATCTCTATTATACATGGAAATGTTGATGAAAAAAAAAAAAAAAGTTCAGCTCGTTTGGAGACGTATATTTCATGCATGGCACGAACAAATCCACGAGCAAGAAAAAGTAACAGCAAACAATACGAGATTATCTAAAAAGAAAAAATTTGGCCTTGGTCTTTATTATTACCGTAAATAAGCAGCAGCCCAATCTTCTCTGTTCTGTAGTGCTGTCCAGAGATCAATGACCTTGATGTCCAATTTATTGCACAAATCGATCAAAGCATCAGAATAAGTACGGCAGGCCTCGTTTGTGCGTTCTTGCTTATCAAATGAATTGCTGGTTTTTCGTTGAACCGTTAAGAGCATAAGAAAGAAAAACTATACTTGATGAAAAAAGAACATACATATAATTACACACTGAAGTGAAAAATTAGTTACCCAAAGTATTGTTTGATCATTGTCTCGTTCACAGGAGGGCACGTCAGAAAAATTATGCGCGTTTGATTTGAGAGGCTCTACAAACAGTGAAATTGAAAATCAATGATTGTGTTTGCTTTATTTGATGTTCAAGATAAATCAAATATTCACTTTTAACCGATATTTCCTATAAATTCACATTAACAAGTATCTTCCTAAAAATCACAGGGAATCATCTCGAAAGATCAATTTTTCATAGAATAAGAAGAGCTAGCTCCACAATTTGCATGCTGATGAATATTATTATTAGCACGAATACTTTAAAACCGCCCCTCGAACTGAATAGCAAAACAGATAATCAAATATTCACTTGAACTAAAATTTCCTACAAATTCAGTTTAACAAGAATCTTTCTAAAAATCAGAAGGGATCATCTCGAAAGATCAAATTTTCATAGAATAAGAAGAGCTAGCTCCACAATTTGCATGCTGATGAATATTATTAGCACTAATACTTTAAAACTGCCTCGCAAACAGAATAGCAATGTTTTGCTGCTTTATACAATAATAGAGCATTACGAATTTACGGCAGTCACCTTGAGATGAAGATAAATTTTTTTCATGTTCTCAATATATTCCAGGAGAGGAACATGAGGGCCTAGGCCGCTTGGGTGGGGCCGCATTGCGTCATTACCACCAAAATATACAATAACCAAAGATGGTTGAACTGCAGCTTCCTGTAGCAAAATCTTAATCAAATTAAAATGCCGTGTTATGAGTAAATAGGTAATACAATTGGGGAACAATTGCAACACAGGTCGATCAAGCATAATGACCATCATGGAAGTAATATGTGAAATTAGAACGATTCACATTTTCACCGAATTTCTAGCAGCAAAGATTATTAGGCAGCTAATAGTAAGGTAGCTATTAGGCAGTACAGTTTGACTTAACAAAAGAACTAATAGTAAGGTAGCTATTAGGCAGACTTAACAACAATCACGAAAGTTGAACTTTTTCAACAGATATGCATACTTTCAAATTGAAATGCCTTTAACTCTAAAAAACAACATAATCAGCATAAAGTATGCATTTTTATACAAGAAATTGTGGAAAACTAAACAAGTTGTACCTTTGGGAAAATCTTGTTCAAGACTTGAAGAGTATTCCTTGAATTCCAAGCTCCATATCCTCGCACAATTATGTCTGCCTGGGGGAATATTCAAGGAGAAGTACCAGAAAAAAAAAAACAAAAAAAGATTCAACCTTTATCTGGAATATTTTTTTTTCTTTTCTCAAGCAAAACAGCAGAAAAATGGGGGGGAAAGAAATAATAATGAGTATCAGAATTGAAAATCAAGGCATAATAATTATGGTTTTGACTACATGATGCAAATTATTATATCTAAAAAAAAAATCCCTAGATGGGTACTAAACAACAAAATTCTATCACACACCCAATCATGACTGCTTATGAGAGACAGGCCCAGAATATTGGCTTTTTCTTGAAATTCATACGAAAGTTGAACATAGTATCAAGAAAAAAATCTGGCAAATAATGAAACAAGTTCATTCATACCTTTCTATCGTATAGGTCGGAGAGGATAGAGCCCCAGCCTCCAGCTTTCAAGGACATTTGAACTATGGACGAGCCGAATAATACGAACTGTGCTCGAAGGGGACCTACCATTGTTCTGCTAAGGCGTGTGTGTGCGATTGTGTGTTGTGTGTGGTTTTTGAGATGAACAAATACGAGATTTGCTCGATTGCCGTTATGTAATAAACTAATAATGGAGCTGGTGAGACTGTATGTGCGTTATTGGCCAGATCAAGGGCGGCTTGATTAAACGGGATTGGATTAAATTAACCGGGATAATTTGAGTATTTTTTTTTTTTTCAGACCGGGCTTGAGTCAATTGAGAGTCGGGACAATTTGGACCACATAATAATGAACTTGGACAAACTCAATCACAAATCGTTCAATCTTGACATTGAGCCGGTCATGTTTATATAATACTCCGTACGTGTTAAGCTCTAAAGGGGTAAACAATGAAAAAGTCAATCACATGAATGCAATTTGACGTGATGGTGTTGGATGAATTTAACCGGGATATTTCAATGTTTTTTTTACCTTAATTGACAGTGGGTTGACTTTGAGTGAGGATCAGTTCAGTTGGATGTGTTTTTTACCCAAATTTACGGCGGGTTGACTTGGAGTGAAGACCGGTTCAGTTGGATTGAATTCTTCAGGCAGGTTAATAAAAGAGTGAGATACGATCACAGTCAATTTGGCAAAGGTCAATTTGGCAAAGAGTGAGATACGATCACAGTACGGTCAATTTGGCATTGACCAGATCACGTAAAACTCGACTTGACCCGATATTTATCTATTTTGTTTTTAAAATATTTATATATTAAAAAAAAAGTTACTTTTATATTCATGCGATAAATATTTATCACAAATACAATATTACTAATACTTTAAGTATTTTTTTTTTATTTTTATTTTGATGCATAATTAAAAGATAAAAAATAGTACAAATATAATTTATAATTTTTTAAAATTAGTTCCCAGATTCTAAAATTGACTTGTTGATCCGACAATCAATTGATCAGGTGACCCGAACATACCAAAAGAACAAAAATGAGCTGTTGTCGAGCTCAAGCAACCATACTATGGCACCGAGATTCTAGAATAATAATTATTCTCAAGAACATATACAATGCAATTTTAGATCAATAACATCCAAAAGAAATAACCATCAAGAACTAGAAAGTGAAAGTTGAAGATATAAAACTTTAGAAGTACAGAAATAGCATGGACTGTAAGTGTTTTTCTATTTTTCCTAAAATGCCACTCTATTTTTCTTTTTTTCAAACCTTCCACTTTACCCCCTTGTAAATAGACACAAAACTCCCGAATCAAAGCTGACTAGCATCAAAATCCAGCCGAGAATCACATCATGAACATTATTAGTTACTGCCCAGCTGCTTCATATCTTTAGGGGATTCGAACGAAATCGGCCAAGCAAGATTAACAAATATCAACAACGTGCCCAGTAAGTGAGCTAGGTAAATACATACACTACATAGTTATTTTGTTCCATTAAACATTCCAAACGACCTGCTAAAAACCAACGTTTTTGTGTTTTTGTATTTTACACAAGAGGGTCAGAATACTCCAAAAGCTTCAAACCTGATACTCGAACCTCATTCATCCTCATCATCACTGTCCTCGTCATCATCCTCATCTTCGTCGACATCATCATCACCTGCCTTCTGCACGTTTAAGAGAATTCAAGATTGTCAGTCGAGTTAAAAGCAACTAGTCTAACCAAAAACAGTTTCATAACGACATAAATAGTCGATAAACTAAAATTTCTTATACTGACCACACTCAACTAGAGCCAAGGGAAACCCGAAATCATCAATAAACTAAGGGCGTGATTGGATATGAATCCAACTGGTTTTGGTTGGATTTAGTTGGTTAAAGTGAGCTACTTTGAATAAAGTTGATTTAGTAGATGATTTTAGTTTGTATTAAATAATATTTAAAATATAATGATTAAAGTTGATGTGATGTAAAAACAGGAAAGAGATTATTGGAAGTGATATGTAGTTAAATTTATGTGAGTGGATGAATAGTGAATTAAAGTTAATGTGATGTGTGGCAATGATTGAATGGATATTATTTAATTATATTATATTTATAAAAAGTATGAGATGTGGGTTGAGTTGGATTTTGAGTTAGATAATTGAAAAGAAAATAACTCAATCATATGATCCATATCCAATCAAGCCCTAGAAAGCATCTAATAATGTTAAAAAGTCGAAAGAGCCAAAGAAAACCCGACACGCCTAGGAAATAGGAACATTGCTTACAAACCTGCACACTACCCTCATCATCATCGTGAATTTCCGAGGTTGACTTCTCAGAACCTTCGCCACTCTCATCAGCAGAGCTCTCCTGCCAATTCCCAGACGAGCAGATAAAATATTGTTGTAAATATACGAGGAGAAAAAAAAACACAATAGAAAAATTAAAATAGTAATACATCAATGCAAGTGTCTGTTCACCTCCTTCTTGTTGTAGGCATTCATGAGTTTTTCATACTCGGCTTTCTTCTTTGCTGCTTTAGCCTCATACGGAGCCTTTTCCTGCGAAACAATTTCGCCAACAACAACAACAAAAAAACCACGTTTTTGAAGGCATCATACTGTCGACATAAAAACATAAACACACACACACATACACACATTTGTATATTGGTATAATATAAATGAGTAAATGACAATCCATATATTGTAGTAAACTGTCATACGCTTGCTATTTCTCAATCTTTGTGCACCATAGGCTTCAATAACAAAATTTCACCAACAGTAATACTCTAAGAAGATGTATATAGAAGTAACTTACAGCTGCACTCAACGATTTCCACTTCTCTCCACCAGCTTTTCCAACCTAAAGGCAGTGCCATTGGTACAAACAATGGTAAAAAAGAAATGGTAAAAACAAGGAAAAATAAACCCCTCCATATTCACAACGCGAACAAACTATTGAAAATTAACAGCAGTCCGTGATTTCATACAGCCGAGACGGCTTTAATATGCGGGTTTTCCTTCTTGAAAGTTCCCCTGAACTCCTCCCTGCAAGAACAACATAAAACTTAAGACCAACCCCACAAACAGTACAGATTGGAGAGTCGAATTCTTGAATTTTCAAATACGAAGAAGAATAGCATAAGTTCATACAGGAACACAAAGAAAGCACTCGGGGGCCTTTTGGGCTTGTTTGGGTCTTTCTTGCCCTTGGTTTTATTATTAGCCTTCTTCTTAACTGTCTTTGCAGGGGTAGCCTTCTTTTTACCAATCTTACTGAAAGAACAAAATACACATTTTCAGTAAGAAATGTATCGTCCAATTGAAATAAATGCTTAATTGATTAAAAGGTAATAAAGATCGACCGGTCATCAACGGGCTTCAGTGCTTCTTTAGTTTCCTTTTTCACAGGCCCCCGACTTTTGCTACCGGTCTTCATATCTACAACCAAAACTTGCATATTATAAACACAGTTGAATTTTAAACATGAAACAGTTTATGATTAAACAGAATTTCTCACCTTAAAGAAAAAAAAAAGAGTTTACTGAGCTAGAATTATGAATAAACAAGGTAAGACATGAAGCAAAATTAAAACAATCATACAAATAAACTACACTGTAGCCCCCAAAAAATTTGGGGAAAAAAGATAAACAAGAAAAAGTGACCCCAAAAGGGGGAAATAAAAGCAAAGCAAATCTAAACTCGAAATTCACAAGGATTACCAAAAAATCACTTACTGTAACGAAAAACACAACAAATTACTAAAAAATAAATACCACAGTTCATCATAGGCAGCTACCAAAAAAAATTAGAACACAGGAAAAGATATGACAAAAATACACGGAGCAAAAAGCTGCAAAACAATTCAGACAAAAAGGGAACTCTACAATTACAAAATTCTGCAAATAAATTCCAGAAACACTTTTTCCTAGATAAACAGCACTGAAAATAAAAATAATTAGGAAGATAAACTTTACCTGAGAAGAAGATAACAAGCGATCGGTGGTGAGTCAATAGGAGAAAAAAAGTTGAAGAAATGAGGGAATATGTAACGAAATGAGAAAGAACGCGTACTCTCCACCGGCTACCGGACCAAGCGGTGGACAGGTTTTTGTGAGGCTGCCTAATACTTTTTATACAAAAAATCATAATTATCTGAAAATGTCATATTTTTCTTTATATTTCTTTTATAAATTATGTTAATTTTGTATGAAATTATGCATATTTTTCAGAAACTATATCAGGCTAAAATTTACTACAAAAAAATGATAAAATTACAACGAAATTATTCTGTTGAAATGAGTTTTTTATCGAAATTTTTTATTGAATGTTGACAATTTCAACGATAGATTTTCCAACGGTTGAAAATATGGATGGAAATAAAAGTTCCAATAAAAATTGTATATTCGAAAGAAAAATCTTACGTTAATATATCGTTGGAAAACTTATCGTTGAAATCATCAAATTTCAACTAACATTATATTGAAAAACTCATTTTAACAAAACAACTAAAATTATATTGAAAAACTCATTTTAACAAAATATTTGGTTGGAATCATTGTAATAGTAGATATTGGTTCACTCTAGTCTAGGTTTCTAACATAAAAGAGCTTCTAACTAAATTAGAGATGAGTCTAAGTCATTAACAACTAATCTGTATCATGTGCAATTAATGTAAAAAATATGGTCTACACAAAATCTTTAGATGTGTAAAGGGTGAAAATGTGAAATTTTGGAGGTTTGCAATTTATGAGAAATGAAAGGACCGCAAGAAATAGTCCACTCCATCAAGATGGGCCCATATCATCTGAGATGCCCATAATGATAAAGTTACAGACCAAGATGCAAAATATTTGTTTGACTCCAATAAAATGGGCTCAAACTATCTAAAGTGCCCATTCAGTTTCACCAGGAAGCCCATGTTTAGTTCACTTTTGAAACTCCATTCTGCAAATCCATGGGAAATATATTCTTCTGTATTATATCTGTCGTTTACTCTCTTTTTGGTTAAAAATAATTGTAAGAGTGTACATGTGCCTAGTTCGAGAAAATATCCTTTACACTTGACATGTATCCATTTGAAAGTAGGCTTAAAAATGTAAATTTCTTTGAGTTTTATATTAAGTTAAGTTGATGTTTGAAAAAAAAAATTGGACCAATAATGAAATTGATGTCTGTGTCTTGTGACCTCACATAATTCAAAGCTTCAGTTTGAAATATTTTCATCTTTGCCTCAGCTATTATTTAATTTTTTTCCACATTACACAAACGGTCTGATTTATTTGAAAATGGCAAATTAATTAATATATTCAGAAAAAAGGAAAGTTATAGTGTTGCCATTGAAAGGAAAGGCTCGCCATAGAATTTCTGTTTTATATGGATAATAGAGGAAAATTATCTAATATTGCTATCAATTCAAAGTATGCCAATAGAGTATACATCATATTACTGGCAAAAACCCTCCTCAAACAAAAAATGCCACAATGATTTTATAAAATTCCCAATTCAGCATGAATTAAAAATAAATAATATCCTTAGGAAAGTATGGCTTGATTGGTAATCAGCGTTTTAGATTAAGTTACAAGTTTGAAGGTGTATTAAAAATCGGATCTATAGTTTTCAAGTTATTATATATATATATATAAAGAAAAGCTCAATATATGAGTTTTTTTTTTTTAAAACATGTGATTGTAAGTTGTTATTTTTACATATCAAATAACTGATTATTTACTAAAACATTTGATACGTAAAGTACTACATAAGTGTTCGAATTTATCCAAAATTGCATATTATTAGTTATTAATTAATAAATTTTAAAAAAATTAAAGGATCTTATTTATTAAACAAAATTAAAGTAGAAAAAAAGTAGAAATTTTTAAAGACTTTTACCCATTATTTATTTTTAATCTAATTCTAAATTTTAATTAAAAAAAATTAAAAAGAATCGTTAGTTACTCCTAGAAATGAAACCTATTTTCCTACCAATAAACCGATTTTTTTATCAAACAAATTGATCCGATTTTTTTTTTTAAACCAATAAAAAAATAATCAATTTTTCCTACAAATGCAACCAAATTTTCCTAACATTGCACTGATTTTTGTACCAAATAAATTGAATTGAAAATAGTTCTAATAAAAAAGTTAAAATAAATTGTTAATGTTTATGCAATTGTCTCTTTCCTAAAGAAAATTATATGAACTTAACAAAAAAAATGATATAAACTCACCAAAATATCGGTAAAACATAGTTAAAAAAAACATAAGAATCCAAAAAAATTGATGTATTTAAATTTTGAAAAGTTGCACACAATTTTTCCTAAATAATTGGATAAAGTGACTTTAAATATCAATGATGTACCGTTTTTGTTACCAAAAAATGTGGACACAATTTTGAATGTACATCCCATCCAAATATCTGTTTTATTTAAACACAAAAATTGCACGTGGCTTTATCCAATTTACACAAATTTTTTGAAAGAAACAATTATTCAATAAGATTGGAAGAATTGGTTAACATTTATATAACTATTTGCTTCCTAAATTTGTATTTAATTTGTACGGTTTTTAAACTAATTTGTATTTAGAATTATTTTCATAAATAATTGACACATTTTTTGCATAAGAATGTCCAATTTTGTTACAAAAAAAGATATGATTTAAATTTTGGTAAAAAAATAAAATATGATACAAAAAAAAAATGGGATTCAAACTTTGCCATAAGAATCTCCAAATTTGTTACCAAAAAAATAAGATTTAAATTTTGTTACTAAAGATTCACATGTGTTTTTTCAAACTTTCCATTAATAGTAAGTCAAACATTATATTTATTTGGTCAAACTTTCTATTAATGTATTTTTCCAACAACCTATTTATATATATATATATATATATATATATAGATAAGTTAATCCAATCAGCTGATCAAAAAATGTACTATTTCAATCAACTATCAACTAATCACCAGGTTAACATTAATATTGGATTAAGAATAAAATACAAAGTAAACATTTAGAAAGAGTTTCAAAACAACCTTACCACCCCCAACCAATCAAATTGTAATGATTTTGATTGCTTTAAGAAACTGAAATGCAAAAAGTCATCCAATTAATTAATTCAAGATTGAATCGTTTTTTTTCCACTCAGTCCTGAACAATTTATCAATTATTACTATTTGCATATTTTTACAAAACAGAAGGGGAAAGAGATATATTCAGACCGTTGTGTTGCTTCCCTTATGAAGAAACAATGAAAACAAAAGTGTCACATTTGTCAAAGGAATCAAACAAAAGACTATTGATTATATTGTTCTGTCCAAATTAAAGTTACAAAAAACAGAACAATAATTCTGTATAAATATAAAGAAAAGCTTTACCATATAAGTTATAATTGCACTTTCTTCATCTCCTCTGCAGTTTATGCCACCACCAAACGGCTGTAAGTAAATTCATCTCTTCTTTTAAGCACTCTTAGCACATTTACCCTTTCTTGTTTTATTTTTTCCCTACTTTTATTTATGCAGCGTTTATTTGTTTATGGAGCTTGTGGGGTGGCCAATTAGTTATAAAAATGGAACTTTTTTTCAGACCAAAACATTTTTACATGACCTGAGTTACCCCTGTTTTGTTTGCTTTTCCCATGTTACATTTATATTATGTATGCATTATATTTTAGCTGCTTAGTAATTAGAATTGTGCATTGTTTTGTTTTTTTTTTTTCTTTTNTTTCTCTTACTTGGATTTTGTGGAACCATAACCAAAAACACAAATTCTACGGTCTAACCATTAGGCTAGTCGAACCTTCACACATTTCTAACAAAAATATGCATATGTAGGTCATAAAAAACGGGTCATACTTTTTTATTTACGTTGTTTTTTTGGAATATGACGGTTTAAGTTTGAAAGTATTCATATCTATTTGGAAAATAGCCTTACTGAAGAAGAAAATGCATATGGAATTATGGATGTGTTTATTTTTATTTTTTTTAAGCTCTAAGTTTAGGGGAATTAGTTCTTAAAGTTCGTATAAGGGATGAATTTTTAGCACCAAGAACAAGAATTTTTGGTATAGTTGTCATTCATCATGACACGATTAATTTGAAAAAATAAATGCAGGCTTCAGTACAAATCAGGCCAAGAGAAAGAAGAGATCTTTGGATGGTCTTGAAGGAAGTAGACGAAAATCTTGCTATATTCCTGGGAAATACGTACATCGACAAGTCTAAAAATGAACAAGCTCTCATTCAAGACTCTTATGAGATTTATGGCTCAAAAGGTAGTAATACTCATATACATTGGTTTCATTCATTTCTTTTTTTTTTTTATTTTTTTTATTTTTTTGGGTTTGCATTTAACATGTAAATGATGACTCGGTTTCGTGCTCTTGAAATTCCAATCTCGGTTGCTAGTGAAAAATCGAGAATCGGCCAAGGGCGAGTCTGGACTTTCCGGTCGTGAAATCGTTCCTCCAAAATCCAAGGCAAGAGAAAGAGCATATGGCATTTTTTTTATTTTATTTTTGGTAGTTTTGAACTTTTTTATTGGTGAGAAGTTGTTTAAAGTTTAGACTATGAACAATTTGTGTGTGTGTTTTTTGTGTCATTTTCGGTTTATGCAGCGGGCGAAAGACCCATCTGCGGGTCCAAAACGAAGGCCCTTACCCTCACCGGATCAAAAACCGACACCAACCGAAAGACTGCCAACGAAATCAAAGCCTCCCGGTGCCGCTGCCACCTCAGCACCTCCGAAGACCACATCATCAGCAACAACTTCTTTTTCCATCAAACCTCAAACAAGAAGATCCTCGATTCAAATTACGAAAATGCCCCTGATGCGAAAGAAGTCGTGTGGGGCCCCCGACGGTGATGATGATGTCAGCCCAGTGGTCATGGGCACGAAAATGGTGGAGAGGTTGGTGAACATGAGGAAATTGGCTCCTCCCTTGAGAGGAGGAGAAAGCTTCGGTTCTCTCGATAACCACCGAGCCAAGAAAAAATCGGGTTTCGGGAGGTTGCTCTCGATTAGGTCACTCGACATGGCAATACGCCACATGGTACGTGTCTTTTTACTTTTTACCCCTCCGTTTTGCTCGACATTTTCTTGAAAAATTGTCGAGCGATTAATTAAATTCGTATATTTTTTTTTTTTGTGACAGGATATCAGACGAAGCATTACAACATCCGATGTTTTACGAGCAGTAAAACTGTAAAAACTTATGGTTTTTCGGTTTCTTGATATAGTTCCAGTCGATGAACAAAGTTAACTCCTTGTAGGAAAAAATGTTGAGAATGATGAGAAGGTTTTTTTTACTATACAGAATATATATCTGGTACAAAATTCAGAGAGACCAGAGATAAAAGAACCTCATATATAAATGTCACTCTATCTAAGTACTAATTAGTGTAAGAACTGAAAGAGGAGTTTACATATATGTAGCTTTTTACAGAGAGATCAATTTTACACCTTGGTGTTTTTTTTCTCATTTTTGTGAAAAGCCATTTGAAAAGAAGTGGTTTTTTCAGCTTCAAGGGGGAGCTTGGAGACACTATTTAGTCTATCAACTTTTAGTTTACATTTTATATTATCTCATAGCATGAAAATGCATTTATGTATTATTAGCTTTTAAAATGTGGAAGAGTTCATTTATGTTCTTCAATTAGAGATTAAAGTTGGGAGCAATCAGGAGTTAGAGATGCAAACGAGATAAGCCGTGCTTTGGTTACTCTGAGTTCAGACTCGAGCTTTTATCGATATTAAACGAGTCTAAATAAGCATTCGAATTTTAACGAGACGAGTTGAGTATACATACATTCTATGAACACGTACATTATTGTTGCACGGTTAGAGAAAATGTCTCGTATGCACGGTTATATATTTATGAAAGGAAAAGTATTTTAAATTTGATAGTTGAAAAGATAAATTCTTGGCATGTGTTGGCAAAATGAATATCTGATAGTTGGAAAGATAAATTCACATGTTGGGGGGAGAACGTAAAAATAAATATGTCGTGTAAAAAAAAAAACAAAAAAAAAGAACAACAGTTGCATCAAGCATTGTGATGAAAATATAAATTCCACAAGCACAATGATAGAAGACGGGTAAACAACAATGAGCGAAATAATTGTGTTTTTAGTAGAATTTTTTTGATTTTGATATCGAAATCCGATATCACACTACTTATGCAATGATGTGCTTGTAATTTGTAGTATTAAATTTATCGATTCATACCAATATATAAAAATATCCACTTGTGGTGCAATAATTCTGAAAGCGTTTATTTATTATTATTAATTTTCAAAAGTTTTACACGGAAGTAACAAAAGTTTTAGCTCAATCGATGTGGTATTCTGTCCACCAAATCATCAAAAAATATCAAAACTTAGAAATTGAAATACAGCAGGTTGAGACAAACACTGAAAAGTTTAAAAACAGAATGGCTAATTTGCGGAAGGACTAAATAAATAATATTGTTTATTCTTGTTTGATCAGGCCGCCACTGTTGCGCTTCTTATTTACTACTATTTTGTAGTCCGGATGTAAATATTGTACATTTCTTTTTGTTATAAAATCTATCGTTGTGAAAAAAAAAAAAAAAAATATTGTTATTATCTGCAGCCACATAATTCATAAATATTTCAGCCTTCAGGTTACAATTTACAAAATAACAATGCTTCTCTCATCATTCTTTAATCAAAGAATTTCACATGATAAATTATGTAAAACACTTGCCAAAACTCAGCAAAAAACAACCAAATTATACAAATTGTGTTTTCACTTTTCCCTTCTTTGCCAATTATGCATCATCTTTCAAGTGTAGGGGGGAAGAACACATTCAGCATAACCCAAAACCCCAAGGCACAAAAGAAAGAAGGTAAAAAGAAACAAAAGAAAAAGCAAAGTTACAGATCTAACTCAGTACCCTGTTACAGCAAGTATGACTCGACTACAGTTCTGCCGAACTTTTCTTGAACATCTTTCGGAGTTTCAATCTGCAGATAACCAAAAAAAAAAATGGTGGTTAAATGGAGAAAAAATAGGAAGCAATGACAGTAATAAAAGCAAATGCTCTTATTTACCGCGTTAAGAGCCTTGAACACAGCCTTGACAGTGTTATGAGGATTTCTCGATCCAACAACCTACAAGTGTATTCCCATTAGAACATAACTGGAAACAAGAAAAAAAAATAAAAAAAAAATTGCTGGTGTAAATTTTATACCTTGGATTTTACATTCTTGAATCCAGCTAAACTTAAAATCGTTTGGACCGTTCTACCTGCCTTCATCCCTGTTTGAGTAGGAGCTGGCCAAAGATAAATCTAAAAAGCATACCAAAATTCCACGTCAAACAAATATATATATATATATGTATATAAATTGATCAAACATATACAAATTGAAATTTGTTGGAAACCTTTGTTTTTTTGTACGATGTCTGAATTGCATGAGCAATTGTGTGTTCCTCGTGTCGCTCTACATAATGGAGATTTTGAAAGCATTTCTCATATGCCTGCAGCAATAGATCGATACAACATGCTAACATTATAAGCAAATGCATTTAAGACCTTAATACCGCATTTTCTTGCACAAATGACATGGATTTCAAGATGCAGTTCTATACTTACAGGACGTAAATTAAAATTAAATGTTTCTGAAGCTGTACAATTTTCAACGAGTTGCGAGGTTATGACTTGTATCAATTTTACAACTTACAGAAAATTCCACCTTCATAACATGGTTAATTAAATAAAAATACAAAGTTCAATGTATCTGTCACAGTACCACAAAATGCATATCATCCAATAAATTCCAAAGGGACAACAACAACATAGCCTTTTAGTCCCAAGCAAGTTGGAGTAGGCTAAAAATTAAACGAAAAGAAAAAAAATGAACTCTCAATCACTTCGGTACCTTCTGAAGAGCACATAAAGACATCTATAAAAAATGAACTCTCAATCACTTCGGTACCTTCTGAAGAGCAGCCGGAATTGCTGGACCCTTTGCTTTGGCAAAACCAATAACACCGTGATAATTTCCACAAGCTAACATGGCAGTATACTTCACAACTTGTCCACCCTGTTTGATTTTGTGGATAATAATCAGTCATGATAGTGAATAAGATTCACCAATAAAAAGTAAACGTGGAAGCTCCATTACCTTAGTCACTTTACAGGTCCGATTGACATCAATAAGCTTCACATCAAAACCCTGCAACCATTAGGGCCAAATTTCGTAATTACTTAAACACCACCTGTCTAATTTACAGCACCGGATATATGACTGGAGGGGTGTTGCATATGGTATTGCAAACAAGAAACGGTCTAGATCAAAGGCCAAAGAAAAAAAAGAAAAAGAAAAACAGTCGATTGAGAATAAATGGACACGGTGATTGCCTGCGCGGTTAAGGAATAATGACCAAGTTTATAAAAAAAGCCTACCACTTTTGGACATCGAGGCACCAACTAACTGAATTTGACTTATATCCAGTGTTGTCAAATTTTCACAATCGAGCTAACCGCCATTAAGTAAATTGTTAAGGATAGTGGTTATGGCAGAATTTTAGCCCGCCCCTATTTTCCGCCATCTGCTACTGACAGCACTCTTATGTCTTCTAATGCAGATTGATATTGATAACTATATCTAGAATTGTACTTCATGTGTTTAACTATTTATATTACAAATGCATTATTCACACACATATATCCACATATATCATAGACGAACTAAAACGCCATTTCTCTCAAACCTATCACTTTTTCACGCTCCCCAATCCCACTTTAAGAGTACCATCGAACCTTATCATAATAGAGTAACAATATGACAGCACATACCAATTTCTTCCACCGGCAATAAACTGCTGCTCTATTCAAGTGAAGACATGTGAAAGGAAAACAAAAATAAATGATTCACCATCCTTTCCGAGAGTAATGGCTAGTGGTTTCACCAGAGCATAAATATTTCTCAAATCTTCCTATGAGAAGAAAACTCGGTATAAACTACAAGTGAATTTTGTGATCAACAGACAAAATACGGCACTAATTCCAACAAATCTTATCAACTGTGACTTGGATTGGCTAAAGAAAACAACAAAAAACACAGTATATGGCATCTCCCGTACATGTAACACATAAAAATCAATCAGTGCTCAAACACGGCATCAACTTTTTTTTTATAAAGCATTTAGTTGTATACTGAGAATCATGAAGTAAAAAGGCATTTGAGCTGAGGCAATATAGATAAAGCCATTAAGGAATGTTTGTACTCACTTTTCTGTAGAGGGGCTTTCTCTTCTGCTCAGTCAATGAGTTCCTTTCTTCAGCAAGATCTCTAATTTCCTCCTCCAGTACTTTTGCCTTCTTTCCAAAAGTGTGATCCAACTCCGCCAGTTTCTGCTCAAGGATTTTATCCAGTTCATTAAGCTTTTCCAACAATATGTTGTCCTTCTCCTTCAAGTCATCAAACTCAAACTCGTCATCATCTTCTCCACCTTTCGTACTCTGCTGCTCCTTCTCCATCTCGTCAAGCTCCATGTGATCAACTGAGGACCCAACCTGCTCGTGCTGGATAACACCATAATTTGCTGAGTCATTAGGATCAAATGCATCTTTCCACTCCACCAGCCTCAGTGCTCGATTTATCTTCACCTGAAGAAGAAACTTGTCCTTTCCCTCAGCTACTTTCAGCCGATTCATGAGCTCACCAATCACACGATACTCAGGTCTTAGCTTGAAGTGCTTCTCTTCAAATTTGTCAATTCTTTTCATACACTGGAAGGCTTCATCCAAAGTCTCTGATATATGATTGCACAAAAAGAAATACAACAAACGTATAAGGGCATGGCCATAATACAATAAAAATCATCAGTACATACAAATTGATGAACTGATTATTCCATTTCCATAAAATATGGGTGGCACTATCTGACTAGTTTATGTCATTGCTGTTTGTTAATCACATGACACAGCATCATTCATAATACCGAAAGGCCCGAATAGCATGCATCTCTAGGCTCTAGAACTTGTATACAGAGATTATTAAGGGAGGAAAAAAGACAAAGGATAAAATAATAGAGTTTTGTCGAGTAATTCAATTCCGTATTATATTGACCTTACTATAATCGAGATGATGCAAAAAAAAAAAAAGCATCAGTAATGAAACACAAAGGCTCCCAAAAAGTTCAGCTGTTAGTCGAAATTACGAACCAGTCTTGGTGAACTTATCGAGCAACTCCTCGTGCTTCTTGAATTTCTTATCGAACTGTTCTACCTGCTTGTTGACTGCCTCCCGAGAGAACCTCTCGTCGTCATCGGAATCCGAATCCGTGGGCTCCTCGTACCGGTTCAAATCCGGCGGGTCCCCCTTCATCTTCTCCTTCTCTAGCTTCTCAATGAGGGGTCCAACGCCCATGTAATCCTCCTGTTCCTCTCGATCGAGGTCCGCCACGTCCAGGCCCGCTTTTATCCGTTCCTCTCTCTCCCGCTGCCGCTCTCGCTGGGCTTGATAGGTTATTTCCTGTAGCGCCCGGTCAGCGGCGGCGACTCGGGCCCTCAGATCGGAGAAATTCGCGCTGTAACTCCTCGTGGTCTTGAAAGTGGGGAGGGGACTCGACAGGTAGTGAGTTGATACGCATGGACTGGACGAGTAACTCGAGAATATAGGTGGAATGCGGCGGCGGAGCATACGGCAGAATGCTCTGTTCATTGCGGCCGACGAAGGTGGTGGCTGTGGCGGTAAGAAGGGGTTTAGGGTTCTGATTTCCGGTTGTGAAATGTATACTGTGGCAGCCTCTAAGCTGGATGTCTATATTTTTACATTTTTTATTTTTTCTTAGACTCATATCTATATTTTTATATGAAATTTCTTATATAGCATTATTTATTTTTAAATAAAATTATCATATAAAATTATTAGATTGCACATTAAATTTTCTCTTCAATCTTGATAAATAATTTAGTAAATACTTGATACAATATTTTTTAGTAAATAAAGTGATGGTTGACTGTGGATCGCAACCAATACAGTAAATATGTTTAAGTCAGTTTAATCGGGAGTTACATTTCAATTATGGTGTGTTTTAGTGATATGGAATATGAGGAGATCGAAGTAAGAGAAAAATATTAAACAAGAGCAATACGCCGATGTTGTCGATCGGTAAGGAGATTGTTCTCCAATATTTTTATTAAATGATTGTATGAGTACAACCGAATGTATTTGTAGTGTAACTTATATTGAAAGATCAATTTGTATATGTGTATATTGTGTTTTTCGAGTGCTTGATCGCTTGTCTCTTTTGGACCCTAGTGTCTATATTCATACAAGAAAAAAATGATGGTGTATTAAATGCGGAGTGCCAACTAGGGGTAGGGTGACGCCTCGTGTTTTCATGCATAAGTCGATGGAACAATTTGGACGGTGCTATCAACTTTGTCAATTTTGGTTCAGACGATAAAGGTGATCGTCAATTTTCTTTGGGAAGCTTATGTGAGTGATCAATAGTTCGACAACCCTAATATTATGCATTTGGGCCGACTATGAAGTAGGTGTTGCTATAATGTCTTGGGATCAGTTCCTTTTCTTTTTTGGGTTTTGGTTCGTATTTGGGCCACGCCTTTTTTAGAACTTTGTGACATGTAAATTTGGGCTACAATATTTTCTAACATGCATTTTCCATAATTAATTACCATGTAAAAAAAAAAACTAATTAATTAACATGATTATTTTATATGAAGAATAAACAACTAATTATTTATCATACATGTCAGACAATTAATGTGCACATACCGTACATAAATATTATGCATATCACATAAATAAATACGATGAACAACAAATAATTAATAGCAATAAATATTATTATAAATAAATAATTCATCTATTATGATGATCAAAAATCATTCAATAACAAATAAGGAAATTGATTTAACTTTCCTACCGGGTCGAGGACTTACATGCATAAATTCTCATAACAAAGGCAACTTCCTTGCCAAAATTATCGTCCGAGCGCCACCCTTTCCGCCGTAAATTCTCGTCCGACCTCCACAGCCCGGCCGCTCAGACCAGCCTCCAGCAGTTCGGTTGAGCTCGATCAGCTGCGCTCCCGATTCTCAGTTCTCAATTGTCACCTATGTACCTCAAATCTTAATTCTCCCAATTCACAATTGACCTCTGCGACTAGCTTCACCCGCTTCCAGACTCGGCGGCTCGCGACTAGCTTCTACCGCTCCCAGACTCGGCGGCTCGCGACTAGATGTTTCCCATATTCCGAAGATGGTCAAATAAATCAGGGGACCACAATCTTCAATCGATTACCACCGCCGATGCTACCGCCTCGCCGGAGGTGGAGTCTGATGGAGAAGGAGATGATGATCTTGAATTGCTGCGGAGTATTCAGGAGCGCTTCGCGGTTCCTATGGATTTATTACAGGACGATTATGAGACCCTTGGAGCTATTCAACGCCGTTTTTCTGCTTACAGTGAAGATGGCATGGAACACAACATGGATGACCTCTTACATAGACCTGCTCAGGTTAGTTCTATTATCATAGACTCAGAAAATGAAGTTTTCAATAGCTTTGTTGATAAAACTAATGTTGGAGAAGGTTTTTTCAACTGTGTAGATGCAAGTGTGCCCACTAGCAAGAAAGCACAGCCTGCTGATTTAGTTGAATCGGATGGGCCTGATACTGAAGATGTGGCTAGGGTTGCCTCTCAAAAGCTGTGATTTCCCAAAGTGTGAACCGGCATTTATTGATGCTATTAAAAATAATAGATCTTACCAGAAGCTCTTACGGAGTAAGATGATACAAGTGGAAGCCAGAGTTGAAGAACTCAGTAAACTGATGGAACGTGTGAAAATCCTCAAAGACTTTCAGATTGCTTGCAAAAAGAGAACTGGGAGAGCCTTGTCGCAGAAAAAAGATGCTCGCGTGCAGTTAATTTCGGTGCCGAAACTAAGGGCAAATGCAAAGTTCAATGACAAGAATCTCCCTACTGGGCCTCCAGAAAACGCACACGTTGCTTACTATAAGGAGGCATTGACAAGATTTGCAATCAATGTTAGTAGGGAGAATTGGTCAAAGGAAGAAAAAGAAAATCTTATAAAGGGTGTGAAACAACAGTTTCAGGAAATGTTTCTTCAGCAATCTGTTGATCTCCTCAGCATTGACAGCTTTCTCGTATCTATTAGAGATACTGACATAACACCTGATCACGATCGAAGACAAACCCATTTTGCGTAGAGTACAGCAAAATGGATTAAATAATTTGATAAATATAGCTGCATCAGTGGGAACAAATCGAACCCCATATCAATGCTTAGCACGGTACCAGAGGAGTCTCAATGCTTCTATACTCAAAAGAGAGTGGACCAAGGAAGAAGATGGCCAGCTTCGGACAGCTGTCTAAACTTATGGTGAGAGCAATTGGCAAGTCGTTGCTTCTATGATGGAGGGACGAACAGGTACCCAATGCTCTAACAGATGGTTGAAGGCACTTCACCCTGCTAGAAAAGTTGAGAAATGGACTGAAGAGGAGGACATGTGGGTGAAAATCTCCGAAGCACTGTTTGGACCGAAAATGTGAAAAAATATTGCAAAGTTTGTGCCTGGCCGCACTCAGGTGCAGTGCAGAGAAAGATGGGTCAATTCCTTGGATCCTTTTCTGAGTATGGCCCAATGGACCGAAGAAGAAGATAAAATTTTAGAAATGGTTGTTGCAGAGCATGGCTATTGCTGGTCCAAGGTTGCTGCTTGCATTCCTCGGCGAACGGATAGTCAGTGTTTGAGGAGATGGAAGGTGTTGTTTCCAGATCAAGTACCCGTGATTCAAGCTGCCAGAAAGATACGCAAGGCGTTAATATCGAACTTTGTCGGAGTCAGAAAGACCTGCCCTTGGACCCAATGACTTTGTTATGCCAGAAGCATATTGTGTTACTGCATCAAAAAATATTGACCCTTCTAATAGAAAGAGGAGACGATCATCAAAGGATGCTGTTTCGGGTGACATTTGCTCAGAAAAAGTTTCGAAGTTAAGTGACAGCAGTGAGGTTGAGAATAATTTGCAAGGTGGATCAGTTCCTAGGAAAAGAAGGTCTAAGAGTACTTGTTCCAATGATGGTATTATCAAGAAGAAACTTCGGCCACATAAAAAAAAATTGAGTTTGGTTTCAGGGTCTGTTGATGAACCACACAGAAACGAAGATGAACATACTAACTCAACAGAAGAATGTTTATTGCCAGATTATGATTATCCAGATTTGCAGCTTGAAACTATGAATCCAGAGCTCGGTGTCAAAAAGGCTGCTAAGCTGCAATGTAGGAGAAGACATTATCCCGTTGCAACAATTGAGACAGCTGGAGAGGGCTCTACCACCACAACCTCAAAGATGGAAATGGAAAAGATTTGTCACACCAATGAAACAAACGATCGTCAACCGTCACCTTTGTTGGGCTCGATGTTGCTCACGGAGGCTGTTTCCAGAATCTGATGAGAATCACCATGTTTTTAGGCCTATAGTCAGATTGCCCGAGAAAAACGATGTTATTACGCGCATTAATCCTGAGGTTAGAGGACATGTTTGGAGGGAGATTTTATATTTGTTGCTTATGAACTTATATTTTGGTGCTATGAATTCTTGTTCTCCGTTTATTGCTCAGTCATATTGTGAATTTGAAGCTGTGTTTGTTGTTCTAGTTGTATAGCTTTTTTTGCATTTAACTAGTTCATTGGATGCATTTATCATTAGGAATGAAGTCTTAGTCACTATGTTTGTCTTTTACTGGCTAGTTTTAGTAGTTTAATTACTTCCTTACTGTGATATTCTATTTTGTACAGAATCGTGATACCAGTGTGTTACTCAGGTTATGACCTGCTTGGGAAGATTTGAAAAATTTTTTAACTACAAGAGGCAGGAAAAGATTTGAAGTGTTTGTTTGTACCATGGCTGAAAGAGATTATGCTCTTGAAATGTGGAGGTTGTTTGATCCGGAGGCACACTTGATTAGCTCCAAGCAACTTCTGGACCGTGTTGACGTTGTATGTGTCAAACCAGGTGAACTACATGTTCTGGTTGGAGAGTACTTTTAATTTGTACCTGTTAATTCCTATGTGTAAGTTTGATTCTCAACGATGTGGTATACACTTTGCAATTGCGAACCTTTTGTTTCTAAAGTTCATAGCTGATCTTTAACTCATCTTGACATTTCTCTGCGCAAGTGCTTCACTTATGATCCTGATGAATTCAATTTCATGATTTTTCATAGGATCCTTGTAATAAGTCAACATTCTTTTGAACTGAACGATTATATTCAACATCCATATTGCAATTTGCAAATGTTGTTCCTGTCCTTTGTGTGGCGAGAAATGTGGCATGCAACGTCAGGGGAGGTTTCTTCAAGTAAGATGAATTGTCATTATTGATAAAGTCCAGGGGTTTTTTGAGGATAGGAAAAAAAAAACAAAAAACAAAAAAATGATTCCTGGTTTTATATTATCTACCTATTTGTCTAATTGTCTCTTGACCTCTTGGTGAAGTGAGATCTTTTTCTTTATTGTTCTATTCTGAAACTGAACGTCATCAGTTAGTTCTCGTAGTGAAATTTGGATATGTTGAGGAAGTAAGCCGTACAAATTGGTCCAATCAGTTCATTGATTGTAACAACTTAAAACTAGGAATGAACCTTAAAAAGCAGAAACTGAAAGGTAAAATAACTTCAAGAACCTAGAAAACTGTAACAGTCTAGAAAAACTAAACAAGTTAGAAAAGAAGATAAAAGCAACTAAGTACTTGAAAGAAAATACTCTGAAGTGTTAAAAACAGGATCTACAGTTTTGTGCAATTTTCCAAATGATTATTTTAGAATTCTGTGATTTTGTTTCAACCCCTTTTTGTGTTTCTCTTACCGATGGTTCTCTTGGGTTCATCTCTAGCCTACCCTGATTTGCTTGGGACTAAAGGCTATGTAGTTGTTGTAGTTGTCTTCAAATTTGTGGAGCTGTACTTCGATTCTCTCTTTTTAACTCGAATTCAACACTTATTTTGCATGAAATCCCAATAGGTGGCCGAGTCGCGACTTGTAGATTCCTTCGTGTAGTCGAGTGAGTTATCAAAAAGTAGCTTTGGCCCAATCAAGTGTACGGCTTGTAGATTCCTTTAGGCACAGTAAGGTGATCATTCTATAAGATGAATAAACAGTGAAAAGATACCCTTTTTTCTTCACCTTTGGCCCAATCTTGCTTCTGGGCCACCCCTAATGATTAAACTGTCTGTAGAATGAAGTCCAATTGCGTAGTGAGCTTATGAAATATTTTGCGTTTTCATTAAAAAAATTATTATATACAACCACATTGGTTAACTATGAAAATTCTAGGAAAGAAAAATATATATATTAGGCTGAAAAAATGTAATAGATATTGCAATTTATAGTTATAAAGATATGTTAAAATTTCTATGGAAGCAGCACCAAAATACTCGGTTGGAATTAGGAATATATTTGACCCTATTTTTTTCAACGATTTTTTAAAATAATTCTTTTATAAATGAAACTAGTATAGAGCCGTGCGATGCACGGGGTGCACAATTTTAAGGCTATTTATCCAGACTTATAATTATATACATGAATACAGAAAAATATACGGGATATATATAGTACGTGACCCGTGCGAGGCACGAGATATATTTATTTGAGAAATACTATATTATAAGATGCAATATTCAATAAAAGTTTTATAATACGCAGGAAAATTGTACAATAAGATAGTATTCGACAAACAAACAATCATATATTATTAAATACCACCTTGTACACAACATTATGAGTTTGATTTTCCATACAATAATAATAAGATTCTTTGTAAAAAGATAAGAAGGAATTTTCAATCTACACAAACTTTAAACATTAGATATATTTACGTAAATCAATGACTATCACTACAAGAATAATCATTATTAGCGACACTAATTGTAGTAACAACATCAATGTCGTGACTATAAAATGATTATTGTGACGACATTCGAACATATAGCGACATTATTAGCGACGGTATTTTTTGTGACAACATTTGAACATATAGCGACAAAAAATTTCGCCACTAAAAATGACTATTCTTGTAGTGTATATAGACATTTAAACCCTTCAATTTAGGCTTGACATCTACTTTATTTATGGGTGACGTAAAATAAAGATTTAATTTTGACCGATTAAATCTTTATTCGTAGGCTTGACATATAAAACTCATTTGATGGGATTTTCTTAACTAAACCGATGCTATGGGATAAAACAAATCTATACTTACCTTTGACTTTTCCAGCAAAGGTAAAAAAATCGGTTCTGATTTTTATCCCATAACAAATCTTTAATGTCAAGCCTATAAATACCAAAACAAATCTGTAATTAATATCATTCTATTTCCAACAAACATTAATTACCTTTGACTTTTCTGCCTACTATTTCTAGTAAATAGGATGACTTTTTATATAAGTATAGATTTCATATAATGCAAAGACTGAGATCATAAAAAAGAATCCTAAAAACTGAAACAATATATTTGCATAATTTAAGGCCATTAAGAAAACGATCTCTAAACCAGATTTGATTTTCAGAATATGTTTTTTCATTTCGAATTCCATACAAAATGGAATTCTTTCCAACCAATAATGTCATAGCAAATATTAACTCTTAACTATTAAACTATTAGTACATACCGAGCAAATTGTGTACTGATTTTAGAAAGTTATAATGATTCATGTTAGGTAATTTTACATTTTATGCATGTTGAACGGTGGGTTTTAAATATTGTTTCATAGAATGTAAAAGTGTATTATATTATTTGTATGAGATGTTGAATTTGAAAATTAATAGAATTCTTCTTCATAGGAATTTTAAATGTAACAATATTCTTTGGTATACACTACTAATAAAATCTATATTTAAAGTTTATATTTTTTTTTTACCGGAAAAAATTCCTTAATTTAAGGAATCATATATCTTCAATCAGTCCACATATATATACATTCTTCACAATTTTAAATCTTGAATTTGATGAGAATTCTTATCTATGAGTGCAAAACATGGTTTAACAAATTAATTTTTTATTATTATTCCAGCCATACTTCTTTATACGATTTTTTGTGAAAATACAAAAGTAAATTCTTAATTTTAAATCAGCCGTACATTAAAGAGTACAAATTTGTTGAAATTACAAAAATAATTTTTTACTTTTAAACAGACGTAAATTTAAATCAGTTATAAAAAAGTAATATTTATTTTACCATTTAAATATTAAATCAGTCGTAATTAATGTTGTTTGTTTTAGTTGCCACGATTTTCTCCAAACTAAATTAACAACTGCCATGATTTAAGGGCAACATTTAATGCTGCTCTATTTTTAGGAGATATTAAATGTATTTAGCGGGAAAAACTTGCTAAAAGTGTTAAATGGTTAATCTTTTAATATAATGATAGATGTTGTAGGAATATTATGATGCAAATCAATTCTCACGGAATATTTATCAAACTAGTACATATCCCGTGCGATGCACGGGGTGCACAAAATTAAGGTTATTTATCAAGTTTTATAATTATATAAATGAATAAAGAAAAATGTACAGGATATATATAGTACGTGACCTGTAATAGGCCAAAATGTGAACACGGGTGATGCACGGGGTGCACAATTTTAAGGTCATTTATTAGTACAGAATCCGTGCGATGCACGGGGTGCACAATTTTCTAGTATGTGTAATACAAATACATACCGTATGCACGAGACAGAAGCACTAAATGAGTTATTTCCACATAGCTGGCCGGTTAAGTAGCTCCTGAACACGGGTGCACAATTTGTAGTACGTAATATAAAATCAGAACAGATTTCCATACAATTAGATAATAAATTAGATAATAAATAAAGCCCTTTTATGTTAATAAAGATTTTACGTACTTTTTTTTACTTATCAGATGTTATGGGATTTTTTTTGTTAAACCGATTTTATCGGACATGATACAAAAACAATTAGAGGATTACACAAAATCAGAACAGATTTCTATACAATTAGATAATAAAAATGAATTAGATAAGGAAAAAAAGAAATTAGATAAAGAATTTTGAATCTACCTTTTTTTAGTATAGATAGACTTTACGTACAAATTTTGACTTCACCGATTTTATAAGATTTGTTTTGACAAAATCAAAGATGAATACTGAAGACTGTTTCTATTAACATTTACAATGTGTATTTAATGTTTTTTTTTGGCAAAATATTCTTTTTAAGTGTGATATATAAATATTAAAAATACTTAAAATATTTAAAAATACTTAAAATATTTTATAACATCTATAAAAACATCTAAAATATTCTATATTATTCACAAATAATATTTGAAGCTACCTAAATTTTTCTAAACTACCCGTAAAGAAAATATGTCTAAAAATTCTTCATTTAACCTTCATATATGTATATATATATAGAGAGAGAGCAAATGTGTAAAAAAAAATTATACAAATAATATTTAAAAATATCTAAAATATTAGTAATGAGACAGGTGAAATTTACATTTTTAAAAATCCTATATAGATAATGGATTTATAATAGTAATTAGACTTTTATTTATTTACGTTTAAAGTTGTTATAGATGAGGGATGTGATTTTTTTTACTCGTGGAGATGGAATTTTATAAGCTGAGTTATGAAATTTTCTTAAACTCGTCTATGCGATGAGTTTTTTAAGCTGGGTATATAGATTTAAAATTATAAAAAAAAAACTTTCATAAATCATTTGATTTGGTATTTTTGGAGAACTTCATTAATTTAAAAGTGTAAAATAAATAAATAAAAAATGTACAACTGAAAAAGTTACAACCAATTGTATGGAGAATTAAACTAAATCCAATTTTGTAGGATGCATTAAATATTGATTAAATTTTATATGTAAAATAATATAAAAAATCTTCATATTACGTATTGCATACCTACATTTTAGGAACTACATAGATATTCCTAAATTAATATTGCATACCCAATATTTTAGGAACTAATTAAATGCTAATTTGATTTGCATACCAAAAATATTAGATACATTAGTTAAATGATTGATAAAAATAGCAAATCATTAATTAGGGTTAACTATTCTACATACTACATTTAATAAATAGTACCCCTTTTAATATAAGTATAGATGTCATTAAATTTCTAAATGGACTTTTTTTTTTTCCTGTTGAATATATATATTCTAGTAGTGAAAATTAATTCTCACGGTATTTATCATATATACATTTAGATATATATCAGTACATTAGTTCATAGATACATAGCTTGGTGAGGGAACTAACCTATTATTCATAAATCGGATTAGTTGATAGATAGATAGTTCTATAAAATTTTTGATCAAGTGGGGAATTCAAGATATATAATAATCTTACGTGTATTATGAAATATGATTTTTTATGAACTTGATTTAACGGTGGAAAATTGAAGAATCTAACTTTAGACCTTAACAATTAAATAAAGACTTCATCCTATGTTTTTTAATCAGTTGGGCAATTAGAAGAGTAACTAAAGTTACTTTTCATGACGAGAGTAAAATATATAGAACAAAACAAAACAATGCAAAGTCAACAAAAGATTCTTAGGACGTTGAACAATCAATTGTCATTACAATATGGACAAAAATCACTTGAGATTCTGTAATCTTTAAACCTCAATAGTCAAACAGAGAGTAAGACTTGTTTTCAACCAAAGGATTTGTTTAATATTTATGAATGTGACCAACCTTGTTTCCAATATCAATTACTACAAATTTAGATCTAATTTCTGTAGCATACAATTGTTATAAATTAAAGACAATAATACAGGGATATTTAGGTGTGTAATCTGACGGCTAAAATATGTCGCCAAAGTAGAGAAAAATTTACATATAGTACTTGCATTTCAAATTTAATAGCTACCTTAGTTATATTACAACTTTTAATTATTATTATAATTTTAGTCACTTGTTTTACCATTTTCAGAGCTCAGTAATACTGTTATATTAAATTTCATAATTCATTTATGAAAGATTCTTAATCGACCCATTTTCCTGCTAGCATTAATTACTTTTTCCTTTTTATTCTAGTTTTAAGTTTATATTATAATTATTTACACACACATATAGGAGAATTGGAGTAAACTAGGGTTAAGACAAGAAATGCAGTCTCATTAACAATAATTATTATTATTATTATTATTATCTAATTAATACAAGTTAATTTACGTGTTAATAAGTAGTTATTGGCAGCAGTGAATGCATTAATTGTCTGAAAAGATGAAAGCTACTCCTGAGTTCTTTCTTTCAAGTGTCAACTGTTAAAATAATAACTATTAAATAAATAAAAAAAAGGAGAAAAGAGGTCTTATTGTCAGATTCTTAATTTAAGATATAATTGATTAATTGAGCACGATTTTGACTTTGTTCATTTAATATATCTGAATAATAACATTGGCAAATGATTCCTGCCAGTTTTTAAGGGATTCTCACTTTGATCTGTTGATGGTGACAAACGGATTAATCATTTAAATAAAATTATAAAATTTCTGTTTGCATATATTACTAGTGTTCTGCGTATAATATAAGAGTTTAGCTGCCCCTTTTAGAGTACTAATTGATATGCAGGAGCGAAATCATAAAATTAATTCAGAGGAGGCAAAAGACATGACATAATTTGTAAAAGATAACAAAAATACATAAAACAATTTACTTTATAATTACAATTGTTGGCCTTGTGAGTTGTGTGTAACGTTTAAAAACAAAAAATCTGGGAGTGCAAAAAATAATTAAGAGGAAGGCAAATTAAAATTTTTAATTATAATAATAAAAAAAATTAAAATTTGAGGGGGGGAAATTGCCCCCTATTGATTAATGTAACTTCGCCCTGCTGATATGTGTATTGTTTTAGTTTGCTGACAAACTTTTAATAATAATCTACACAAAATCTCATTTTGCTTACATTGAAGATTTCCTAAAGCAAAAAGTTCAAATCCTATGTGGTACTTACAACCGGTACACAAAAAGTTCAATTAACGAGGTGAGTTCGGCTCAATTTCTTAAAGCTTATTAGGCTTGATAAATAGGAACTTTTACGCAATTTTCTAAAATTTATGTGTACTTCAACTCGAGCTTATTTATTGATTTTTTAACTTAAAGAGCTGAGCTCAGCTCGTTTTCAATTTTAGAGTTAAAAGAAAATTTTCTAAACATAACCAAAATATTAATGATTTTCTAAATAGCTTCATACACTTTTTACACAAAAGGTCAGAAATCGTACATGACAATACATTTTTCAAATAAATCCACACATTGAAGACTTTGGAGTTGCAATTAATCTAATAATGTACTGCAATTGGGCAGTCACAAGAACAATAACAAGTAAATTATTTTGGTCTAACATTCAAATAAAATAAAAGGGCAGCACATTATTAAAAAAGAAAATAAAAGAAAAGAAAAAGGAAATACAAACCTATATCAACCTGTAATTAATTAACAATGCCTTGACAAACAAACAAAGGAACCACCACATTTCAACACTACTTTTCTCACCTAACACTTTAAACAAAAATATTT